CTACACAAAAAAAACCGACTTTAAAATTAAGAAAGAAAATATGGCTGCAATTTTCACAGGGTTGAAGTGTATGATTTTCTTTGTACGATTGTGTAAATCTAGTTCGCATCCGAAAGTTACTTAATATAATTCATTTTTCATCTTCCTCAAACAGTTCGATGTTTTCATATTCATGAACGAGGATATGGTCACACGTACCCTCAACGGTGAATATATTTTGCAGTTTTAGAACATTTTTGTGGCATTCAGTCTTGGACATTCTTGCAAAAGTGTTTAACTATTTAATGGTGTAAAAATGTTATCATAATTATATACCTTTTTCTCACAATCCTATTATTGTTGGACCTTACAAACGTGACCAGTCCTCATGTAGACCAGTTTTCTTGTAAATAATGCTTTCTAATATAGCTTTTAAGGTAACCCCTACCTTTTTGCATAATAAAGAGTTTATTTGATAAACAAATATTTGAAAGTCTATTAAATAATTGGCTGCCTTATGGATAAGCCTCAAACTGTACAATATGTGTTAGAGAGAACAGATTCGAGGCCCGTTATGGCCGAGATCTGTTCTATCTCACACATATTATAAAGATTGAGGCTTATCTCCAACTTAAAACATAGCACCCCTTTATTTTAATATAGAACACCTCTATTTTTAATATAAACCTGTTTTGTAGCCTTTGTCTATGACAAGTGGCTTTCTTTTGAAACTACTAGGGTAGCTCTCCCTCTGTGCATCCAACCATATCAGTGCTATTCATCACATAAAACACAGCTAATAGTAACATCATGACAGGTAGTTTTACCTTTGACTGTGTTATATGTGATGAATAGCATCGATATGGCTGAATGCACAAAGCATGCTTTTGGGGTGCACGGTTGAGTTCTGTAAATTCATTTTCACCATGTCATCCGAGGGTGATGCAGGAATTTTCCTTACCCAATCTACGTGTTGTAATCCTAGTCATTCCAAGGACACAGACAGCGTGCAACTGTAGCCACAAGATTGTATGCTGCTGGTGTGGATGAACAGCTAGTGGCCGAAAAAACTGGCCATAGATCATCAGCCATAAGATCATACAAGCGTACCTGTAATGACCAGCTAGTGCAAGTCAGTTCAGTGGTACAAGGTTCAAGTTCAGTGTCATCTACAAACAAAATTAAAGTGCTTTGTGCAAAACAGGAAAATTCCATTCCTTCGGCCAGCAGAGAACTCAACATAAATGCTGCAGATATGTGTTTCACTCTAAAATTCTAAAAAAAGAAACCCTGGAATATACATGGAATATGTGGAGGCATTTTGTGTCTGTTGACACATTTTCTTGGAATAAATTTGATTCAACTGATTAATTCTGTTGAATTTTTTATTGTTAATTGCAATAAGCTATTTCAAAACATGGCTGCCTGTAATGTTCTTTTGTGTTCTGGGTAGGGCATTATAGAGACATTACCTATAACTCTCCCATAATATACCTGTAACTGTCTTATAAGTGACTGTCTAATAAGAGAATCACATATAAGACAGCCAAAGGTAACATATGGGACAGTTACAGGTAATGTTCCCATACTAACGCAGTTAAAGTACAGAAAGAACAATGAATGACATCACAGCTATGTAGGTTCTGGCCCTCCTGACTTAACGAAGATATCTTAACACAAAAGATAATTTTCCTAAAACTTGTACGCTTGTACAAATAAATTAATAAGCTCTTGATCATCTGCTTGTGTTAGTTTTAAAATTCATGTTGCGTGAATTGGCATATCGTTCAATTTTAACTTTTCAATGTGTGAAAATGATCATGTGTGAAAATTAACTAGATGTGATCTGCGTCAACTGGCATAGGGGAAACAACTCACAATTTCATTTTGTCACTGCTTGATTGCTGGTTGCTCAAGATATGAGTACTTCGGTTTTCTACTAATACTGATAAACATAGTTCACTGCCAAGGAAAGGAGAGGACTTATATTAGTATTCTGTTTTATTTAATATATTGTATAGTTTTCAAAAAAAAAAAAAAAGATTAAAATATAAAATGTGAAATATATTATACCATTTTCTATTTTTTTTAAATTCAACTTTTTGGCAGCTTCATATCGTATTATGGTTGGTCTTGTGACACTTTTTATTCCCCGTTCACATTGTTACACTAGATGCTAGATATCAAAGTTGGTCACACGAGTGATTTTATCATTTTCTTGATCCTACTAAGGGAGAGAAATAAAACATCTCATCCAAGGTTGTGTTTGATAGACTCGTTTTCTTATATGATACAGATGTACCTCACATCACCTATCCTCTTCATACCTTTTGGTACATAAGGCCTTGATGCAACTTTTCCATTTCATCATGCCTTTTGCAATCTTCCTTCCTTCACCTTAATCTCTCCATCCAATCCTATCTTTGTTGTTTTTGGTCTTTATACACATTTTTCTGCTTCATGTTGCTATGGCAGTGATGTTGCACAGATCCCTTCGTTATCCATCCTTCATATATGTCAAATATATGTCCACCCCAGTCTAATGCGGTTTGACTGTCCTCTGATGTAGTTCGTCATTTGATACCTTGTCTGACTACCGAGTCGTTATTAATAGTCGTTAGTGTGTATTATGGAAGATGGCTATTTCCTGCTTGTCGCCTTCGTAATTTTCAAAGTTTCACATCCATAAAATAAAACTGATATGGCCAGAGTGTTGAATGCTCTTTATGTTGTCTTTTGAGAGAAAATGTAAGAGTTATTTAATTTTCTGGGTTTGTGAAATTGTGTCCTTGCTTTACCGGGTCTGATCTTGATATCTTCATTTCAGTTCCCTTTCTTGTGAATATCCCTCCTAAATATGTGAAAGTGTCCACATCTTCTCCGCTCTGCTTTACCCTTTCTTCCATCCTTGCATTCATCCTTATTACTCTTGTTTTGCTTGCTTATATGGTCTCACTTTAACAAAATCAGCAACCAATGTATAATTTACGTGCGATTCATAACCTTGAATTAATGGAACTGAATGTGCCCTGGAACATATTGAAATGATATGGAATAATTTAACCTATACTCTTGTCATATTTACAACTTTATTCATACATGAATTTGCTGTAATCGGTTACCATGGCACGCGTGCGTCTGTTTTTACATTAACTTTGATGTTCATCTAACCAAACGTTAGATCCTGACTGTTTCACTCACTTAAATAAGTAATATCTGTGTACTTGAATTGATATCTTGTTCATAATATTATATTGCCTTTCTTTCACATTATTTAAATTTGTACTTTTTACTCATAAACAGTATTAGTAGCAATGACCTGTGCACATAAATGCACATGGACTTTTGGTCAAAGTCTACTCTTACTGTACATATGATATACTGACTGTGACTATTTGATAAGAAAATAATTGTATGTGTGCTGGATGTATGATGGGAGTTGTTTGTGTATTGTTATTGTGATGTGCTATGATGAGTTTATCCCCTTTGTGTTTGTCATGTTGGAGTTATCTCCCTTTATCCTTAAATAGTATTACTCTTTATAATTTTTCATTTCGAAGTATCCTTAAATTAATTAATCATTATTGTTGTAACTACATTGCATATATGATCAAATTTTGAGCCACTCATGGAAAGAATTTATATAGGCTTGCCTGTTATTCAATCCATTTGACTATAACATAAGCCAATAAAATTTGTTGAAATGAAAAAAACCCCAAAAAAAACCCGCTAATCACTTATAATGTTCTTTCATTTATATAAATATAAATCGGATTTGCTGTTAACGTTATCTGTATTATAGTATTCAATATCTAATTTCAATAAATTTGATTGTCAAAAGACGAATGGATAGGGCAGCAGGCATAGAATATTTAAGCCCTCTCCAAACACAGTAACAAACAGTGGTACAAGCATAGACATAGACATATTAGAACACATACAAACACATATAAACAAGTTGATATTATCAAAAAAATAATCAAAGTAGGAGAAACAACTACTAAATCCCATTATTATTATTGAATCTGATGGTTTAAATTCTATCCTTTCATTTTAATACCGAAAAAATATATACATGTTATCAAGAGAAAAGAAAAAGAATTTGTTTATGGAACTGCATGTATAAATATTTGATGGGATTAAATAACCGCACCCAACAGATACAGGCCAATCACACAAGGCCATCCACTGATGTGTTTGGAAATTCAATCCCACCAAATAGTTTAATTTATGGATATTAAACGCAGGTTAGATATAAAATGAACATGTTGTAAAGTTTTATATTCATATGTTGTGTAGTTGTTTTCCAATATTTTTGGCAAAATAGGATAACTGGTCTGCTGCCTGTGCCTAAACTAATTGCACATATGATACAATAATATTGATTGGAAATTAAATTTAATGTTACGATTATCTTTGATTCAGCATTGAGGGAACAATACCCCGATATTTCTTATTTTTTTCTCAAAAACAAATAAATAAAATTAAACTGACATCAATTTATCCTTCTTTCTATTATTAAACTTGTTGCTTTTTTATTAAAGAAAATATGTTGTATCGAGATTTTGGTTTCTAAGAATTCGTGTATTAAAACAACTCAAACTCGGGTCAAAAACTAAGAACATCAAAGTTTTTGAGAAGCATTTTTGATACAAAATCAAAATATGAGTAACTTTTGAAAGTATGTCTGTCTTCTGTGCACCTAATGGTTTTTACGCAAATTACCCTGATTTATAGTCGTACGAAGACAAGTCTTACCTTGTAATCGGGAGAGAATGCCAAACGCGGCCACTGTTACCCTGGATTTGTCGTCCAATAGTACCTCTGTATTAGAACACTTAAGAAAGCAAGAGATTAAAGAGGATAGTTCGACCTACTTGTTCTTTCTAAAACAGGGCCATGTAAGACCTTTTTGAGCTAATAGACTTATATGTAGATACGCTAAAACTCTGCATGCAGAAGTGTTACGATTCATAACATAATATATTGAAATTAAGATGACTATTTGTTTTGTATTGTAGTTTCTAATGCAAATTGAAATTCGTCTGGCTGTCATCTGCTTGGTGTTTGGCACGTGGGGATTTGCGGCTGGAATTCAGTATAAGAACTACTGCGCTGCAGTTTTACCTTCCAAGTGTTTCTGTAATAAAGCGCTTACCAGTGTTAACTGTGAGGGTCTACGACTGACTGATATACCAGCTGGCATACCAAAAACTGTAGAAAAACTATATCTGACCCATAACTACATAGACACACTCGATAGCTCACACTTCGGTGTTCTTCCAAATCTCAAGGAGCTGTATCTCCAAAACAACAAGATTATGAAGCTTCAAGTGCACGCCTTTCACGGTCAGTACACTCCAAATCTAAATCTGCTCCGTTTAGACAATAATATCATTGCTTCTCTGGAAAAGTGGTCATTTTACAACCTAACAGTTCTCGAACACGTGTACCTTGGAAACAACAACATCAAGGAAATTGACGAGAACGCCTTTTTCAAATGCACGAGCATCACGTTCGTTATTTTGGACAGTAACAAACTGACAAGAATTCCTCCACTAGGAACACTTCACGGACTACAAAATTTATATATCCAAGCCAACGGTATCAACAACGCAACATTTCCGGCTGAGTACAGGAACCTAACTCAGCTGAAGAATATTGGTCTTAGCAATAACTTCATCCGTATCCTAGAAAAGGAAACTTTTGAAGCTTTAAGCACAACAGCAGTCATCAAGTTAGAATTATCGAGAAACAAAATCGACAATATTTCTCGTCACGCTTTTGCCCCGTTGCTCATGATTCAGTCTCTGAAGCTCGGCAGAAATCCAATAACTGCTCCAGTACTTGAAAGTGCGCTCGTTGGTCTGCAGGGAAAACCTCTTCGTTCCTTAAACATCGGTAACTTGACTCTAGGTGGATCCATACCCAATGCAACTTTCCAGCTTCTCCGAAACACGACCATTAACACCTTACTCATGGCAAACAATAGGATTCGACATATTCCAGACAAAGCATTTGCAGATCTGGAAACTTTACAGCTACTTGACCTCAGCAGCAGTGGTATAACATCAGTAGCCGATACAGCTTTTGATGGTCTAAAAACTTTGACTAATCTCAAACTCAATGATAATGTTTTGGATGTAGTCCCAAGCAATATGCCAACCACTTTACAATTGCTATATCTCAAAGGGAATCAAATCCACTCTCTTCCAGACGACATCTTCTCCAACCTCAGCAACCTTCAGAGGTTATACCTGGGAGCAAACAACATAGTTACACTTCACCAGTCTTCCTTTAACGGGCTTGTCAATCTGAAAACCTTGCATCTCGTTCAGAATATGATCAGTACCCTACCCGGGAAGGTATTTCAGCCCTTCACACGCCTGTCATCTCTTGAGTTGAACAGGAACAACATCAAAAGCATTCCTAATCCGTCCTCCTTGTTTGATTCTATGAAAGCTCTTCGGAATCTCAATCTGGCCGACAATGCCCTCGGAATAATGCCCACAACTTTATTTAATCAATTGTCCTCCCTCCAATATCTCCATTTAGAGAACAACAACATCGGGCTTGCCATGGAACACGACAGAGAGGGACAACTCTTTGCAGGACTTCACAAACTACAAACTATTAACCTGACAAATAACCAAATAAAACTTATCTATGGCTCAAGTTTTCGCGATCTTAACACTCTGCAATCACTAACTCTTCGTCAGAACCGCCTGTCCGCCTGGGGTCCCCATCTCTTTAACAAGATGGTAAAATTAAACACTCTCGATCTTAGTCACAATATGATAGCACTGGTCAACAGTACGTCCGTTCAGGATTTGGGCAACCTTATGTCTCTCAATCTTACAGAAAACCCTTTCGCTTGTACATGTGATCTACGTTGGTTTAGAGACTGGGTCAATACGACGGACATCGCAATTCCTGGGTTGACTTCCTACGTTTGTAACAGCCCCGTGGCTTGGCGCGGAAAAAAGCTCTTGTCGTTCGACCGGACAAAAATCAACTGTCTGTTCTTCACCTTGCCTGTGCTCTTGGCCGTGGTAGGGGTGGCTGTGTTCGTAGTGGTCATTATTATAATATGTCTCTACCGTAAGAGATGGTTTATCCGACTCCGATGCCATCGCATGTGCAGACGTGTTCGCAGAAAAGTGCGGAAGGCCCCAATAAACTACGAACCCATCCCTGGCGCAGACAACACGTTTGACGCATATTTGTCGTGTGCAGAAGATGATTGGAGATGGGTTCTTGATAATATTCTTATGGGTATTGATAACGGCAAGCTGATGAACGTGGATTTTGGAGGTGAATACAAACTTTACTTTGATCATAGAGATGCGGAACCCGGAAAGACAGTTATAGGCAATATCGCGGACAACATGGAAGCTAGCAGAACGGTCATTATTATCCTTAGTAATAACTATGTTTCTGACCCGAGGTATGAATCCGAATTAGATCATGCCATCATGTTGAAGGCCAAAGGAGTTATAGAAGATTTCATCGTCGTGGCAAGTGAATATCTGAAAGTCAAATGCGTGCCGAAAGCGCTGCATCCCATGATGGCGAGTGAGAGGTACCTCCAGTGGGAGGATAAGGATGACGCAGTACAGACTATCAAGGGGAAATTAAAAGATTTCCTAGACAAACGTGAGTATCCCTAATTCGGGGATATTAACTCATTCACCTCTGAAATTTCATAATGAACTAGTCCAAACTTTGAACTCGAGTTCAAATGGATCTTCAGGGACGAATGAGTTAAGAATTCGTAAATAGCCTTATGTTCGCGGAAATCACAAAACAAAACACGCCATAATGTCTAAGCGCTATACAGTATACGTAGCAGGTCGTTCAGTAATATTACCAGTGACCGCCAATGTATATAAATAATAACAAATCATAGAGATTTAAAATCGTACCAAAACTGACATGTGTAATAACCGAAGAATAAGCGCGATGACGTCCTTTATTTGCACCAGAACATACATGTATAAAGATTTAAGTGGTCACTGTTACACAAAGCTGACACCAAATAGATATATTAATCAATTTCAGAACTAAATAGTATGAAAAGGCAGTTGTCCACCTTCCCGGCAACGTTAAGGAACCATGCAGAATTATACTTGTGAATTAAATAAAATGCTTGGTGTAGATAAAATTAAACAATTGGCGGTCAGAACAGCGTTGTCCGGCGAAATCTACATTGCTCACTTAACAATAAGAATCTCTTCATGTTCGTTATAGCAACCGTTGTAAATAACTTTAAATTGTAATTTATATACACCTAAATTGTTGCATAGTTTATCGCGGTCCAAACGGTTGAACCGGTTTGACCAAAGTTCGTTTATGAAATAAGATCGTACCTAGTACTCTGATGCTGCTTTCAGGCGAGCCTTGACCAAGCCTTGCAATGCCTGCATAAGCTTTTGCAGGTCCGCTAGGATGTATACCCAAAAATGTTACATTTTAAAACGAATGTACCGGTTGTTCCGCATAAACGAACAGGCCCCTTGTTTTTTTTAGATTTGGGTTTATCAGTGAACATTATACACGATACCCGTACGCTCACGTTCGTTCTCTGTACTCCCATATATATCGAAGGCACACACTTCACCGTTTGATTGGTTCCAGGTAAAAAAAATAACCTGAACAATCGCATAAGCTGATGCGAATCACCAAGGAAGGTCAAAGAGGTTACAGAGGTGGCGCTATCGATTTGGTTATGCCATACATTTTCCACGGGTGCAGGGAACGTAAGAGAACGAACCCCCCCTCCCCAACCTCAGAATTTTGAGGATGATGAATGTACAATTCCATTTTATATATTATGTTCAATTAGCATAGACAGAGGTTCCAATGATGAATAATTTCATTATTGATGTACAGTGTATTTTTTTTTAGATCTTACAATTTTTTTATCCAACAATCTTAAAAGAACTAAAATAGTCAAGAGGTTCCAATGATAAATATTTGAAAAATTGATGTGTATTTTGTACAGCTTATAATTTTCACGCGAGAGCATTTCTAGCGTTTTGATCACTCAGTCTTTGGAGAACTAATGTTTTGTGTACATGTGATATCATATATTTTTAAAGCATGCCATGGAGATGTGAATTCCTGTAGACTATTACATTAATCCTGTTCTGTGAAGAAGTGAACACACGTTTCGATCATATAATACTCTTTAAGAGTCATCAGTTGTATGCTCATAAGAATCATCAGTTGAATGCTCTTAAAGAATCATCAATTGTATGTTCAGTTATATGATCTTAAAGAGTCATCAGTTGTATGCTCACTGAGTGTCATCAGTTGTATGCTCTTAAAGAGTCATCAGTTGTATGCTTTTAAAGAGTCACCAGTTGTATTATCTTCAAGAGTCTTTTATTGTATGCTTTAAAAGAATCTGGAGTTATATGCTATTAAAGAGTCATCAGTTGTATGCTTTTAAAGAGTCACCAGTTGTATTATCTTCAATAGTCTTTTATTGTATGCTTTAAAAGAATCTGGAGTTATATGCTATTAAAGAGTCATCAGTTGTATGCTTATTGAGAGTCATAAGTTGTATGCTCTAAGAGTCATCAATTGTATGCTCTTAAAGAGTCATCAGTTGTATGCTCTTAAAGAGTCATAAGTTGTATGCTCTTAAAGAGTCATCAGTTGTATGCTCTTAAAGTGTCATCAATTGTATGCTCTTAAAGAGTCATCAGTTGTATGTTGTTATGTAAAGCAGCAAGTTTTATTGATCATTAAACTAAACCTTAACCAGTTAAGGTTATCAGAATGACATCATTTGTTCATAGTATCAAGTTCCCTCAACCATTATAGCTAATCAGAATGACATCTTTTCGTCCTTACCTGATAGTCTCTTAGCCATCCTGCCCTCAAAGGACCCAAAGAAGAACCCTTGGTTTATCAAATAAATAAAAATGAATGAAATATTTTGGGTTTGGGGTGGACACTCTAAAACAATTCCATCGCTCGTCAGTGACACTACAATGACATCTATCAGGAATTAGAAGTAATTTTTCAAAATCTTGTAGACAGTTTGGTCGTTGTAGACAAATTAAGTCAGCCACTGTAAATCTTGCAGTATCCTTTTCTAAAATGTATAACTTCATCGGAAAATGCCCAAAATACAAAATAAATAAACAAGTCTCCTTGAAAAGAGAGTTGTGCTATTGAATACAATTGAAAAGTTACTGTTTTCCTTTTAGTACATAAGGAAGTTGTTTTTATCATTATAAGTGGAGCAATAATATATCCTCCAAAGTAAATCAGTGGAGAAATCACTCGTACAATAAAGGCTTTTACCAACTCAGACAGAAATTTGAAAGTAAAATTAGCAAATATTTTTCAAGCAAATTGAATAACAGCTTTAAGTTTTCTTACAAAAAACTTGCTATTTTTGTAAGAAGTAAATCAAATCTCAGGTCAGGAGGGATTGAGATCTGAAAAATGTTAAATGTTGCTGATATTTTTATGAATGACTTTTCCGACTGAGGAAAAGTGTAATCATACAAGATCTTGATATCATTTCATTTTTGTGTTAATGGTAGCTACTACCCCACTGCTATATATTCACGTGTAACGTGTTCTGTTTTGATTTACAATGTTTTTTGTGTTCTTTTTTTAGTCACATTGTGGTGTTTTTTGATCATTTGATATGTTTGTAGTTATCTTTGATGTATATAGTTATAATGCACTATTATTATACACATTGTATATACATGTATATTATTTGAGGGACAGACAGGTTTTTGTCAAATTTGTAGGGTGTTTTGGTATAAATGTAAATGATATTGGATTTATTCCACATTCAAGACTAGTAGAAAAAACGGACATATGTATTTTTGCCGATGTCGACTTGGATAATTCGAACTACTTTTTATTTAAGCGGCTATAATTTCGTGTAATTCGAACAGGATTGACAGTATTTATTTAATTTTGTTCGAACTGACCAAAGGTTTACTGTATGTGTTTTGAAAACTTTCTTCTGTGTTTAAAATAAGACTTTGGCATACAGCAAAAACCTTGTTATATTGCCACAATTTTTCCCAACAAAATTTGGTGTTATAAAGGTGTTTGGGTGTTTGAAGATAAATTGAGGGATATAAAGGAATAACATGTTGGTTTTTTTTAAAAGAGAGAAAGTGGACTGTGATATATGTTTGCTGCATACAATGTGGCAAATGGTACGAGTTTTTACTGTTATTGCTTTCTGCTCAGGAGTTGGGGCTCCTCCTTTAAAAAAGCCTCTATCCAGCACTCACTAAGTTAACCACTTGTATAATAAAGGTGATAATTCACTTCTGAAATTATTTCTTGTTTATAATTATGTTTTACTACAAGTTTTTTAAAATATGTAATCAATTGAATTCCATCAAGTCTGCGACCTGGAGACTTAGAAACAGCATTTGTCAACATAGCTGTACTTATAAGCCGTTCACACTGGACATCACACCTAAATCCTACAATTCAGGATTGACGATTACTTGAAATTTGGTGAATGATTTATCTAAACACAGACCATATATAAGATGCTGCATAATACAAAGCATTCACATATAATAATAATTCGAGGTTCTTATATACCGCTTTATCACAACCTAGTTCATAGGTCGTCTCAAAGCGGTTCACAAATTATTATCCGTGGTTATAGGACCTTGGCAACCAGCCAATATCTTTCTCAACTCCCAGGGGAGCATACAGCTGGAGCTGCCATTTCGGCGCTAACAGCTAGCGTTCAACATATGCTCTCCTTGTTTTCATTTTTTGGATAAAAACACATAAGGTCAGTTAGTAAATGGTACATGCAATTGTACTATAAACATTGTGGTAATATAAATATAATAAAAGCTGTAAATCAGTGTTTGGGAGTCGTAAATTTGCTACTATAAAAATGATACCCTTTCAGGAAAAGCGACAATGATTTTCAAAATAAGACAAGTCCTAATCTCTTACAATTATAAAATCCTGTTATACTTGACAGATTAGAATAAATCATAATCCTGATGTCCAACCAAGATGGGAATCAAACAGAGTATAGACTAGTAACAACTGAAACATCAATCTTTTGGAAACATTGAGCTATTATTCAATAAATTTCTCATGTAGACAAGACCTCAATAGGTGTTAAATCAATGCTCCATCCTATTAATATCTTCTTATAGTTGTGATTGTCGTCCTTGTTAGCACCACATGTATACTCTTTGTTATATCTCCTCACTTGAAGGAAATAAATACTTTGATTATACATAATAGATATAGATATAATACAAATACAATTTAATGTGTTAAGAATTAAGTCTACAATGCCTTTAAACAGACGTGCCCATACAAAACCATGGCTATTAGGTGTGAGATTCATTGAAACAGACAAAAGGATCTAAAACAACATATGATACCACACGTGTATTTGCTATCCGTAATGGTAATTGGATAAATAAACACACTCCAGGAAAACCTGCTTCGATATATTTTACTTTCGTTTTATATACCTCTATGTTAATATCTTAGTGCAGTGACAAAAGAACATCATCCGTATGTCCTACGTGATTGTTAAACCTCCAATAAATGTACATATTTATATTTTGTTAAATAAATTCGCTTTGAATGCTGTAGACCATCGTCGGATACCCACGGCTGATTACACTTCGCTACTCACTCATAGCGAGGCCAAATCAGTCGTGGATATCCGACATTGGCTGAAGACATTCCAATATGGAAGCGTTGCAACTTGTTATGTGTTGCAAAGGAATATTCTTCAGAAAATCGGGTTGGCAACGATGGATTTCTGTAGCTGCCTCTCAAACTGTCCGAAAAAAAATGTATGCCCAAACATATTCTAGTCCAGCTCCCGAGTACAATAACATTTTCAAGTTCGAATTCTTTCAGCCGCGCCACAACAAGTAACAGACTACTGGAAATACCACAGAAGCGTGTTGATCACACTTTAAAATGAAATCGAAAGTAGGGCATTACCGAGAATCACGCTTTCAGAAAACAAACTTCTTAGGTAGCCCTAACTAGGGCAGATTGCTAGATAATAACACAGTCATTCAGAGTGGGCTATTTTTATCGAGTTCATGAGTCATTAAGAAATCCAAAGGATACAACGGGAATCCAACACGAAAACGGTCCTAGCGTCCCGACAGCCTTATGAGTGGAATTCGGGAACAGAGTTAGCGAGTGACCAGACGACCAACCATGGAGGTAAGTGTGTGCCTATGCTGTTGTCGGCTGCACTACTGGTGCGTTACACATGTATACCGACATGTTTTCATGTAGTGTCGATGTAAGCTGGTCCAGCTTCTCGAGATGTGTTATAATGAACGTTTATGTATAAACTGGTAATATTCCAGTTGTTAATGATCATTATTTAGTAACAATAGCTGCATTTTTCTGTTAGAAGGTGATTTTAGCACGTTGGTTAATCCTTTACATGGGATATAAACACAAACAAATCACCACAACAGTCCACCCTTGCTACGCTGTGGTGACGTGTGTGCTCAGCACGTTTGTAACAGGTACGTTTGACATTATCAACACATTCTCGATAGTAGCATTAAAATGCATAGGATTCTACCTACACAAAAAAAAACGACTTTAAAATTGAGAGAGAAAATATGGCTGCAATTTAATAGGGTTGAAGTGTATGATTTTCTTTGTACGATTGTGTAAATCTAGTTCGCATCCGAAAGTTACTTAATATTATTCATTTTTCATCTTCCTCAAACAGTTGTTTTCATATTCATGAACGAGGATATGGTCACAGGTACGCTCAACGGTGATTATATTTTGCAGTTTTAAAATGTTTTTGTGGCATTCAATCTTGGACAAGCTCATCTTCATACCATATGTGTTCTTGCAAAAGTGTTTAACTACTTAATGGTGTAAAAATGTTATCATAATTATATACCTTTTTTCTCACAATCCTATTATTGTTCGACATTACAAACGTGACCAGTCCTCATGTAGACCAGTTTTCTTGTAAATAATGCTTTCTAAATATAGCTTTTAAGGTAATCCCCTACCTTTTTGCATAATAAAGAGTTTATTTGATAAACAAATATTTGAAAGTCTATTAAATAATTGGCTGCCTTATGGATAAGCCTCAAACTGTACAATATGTGTTAGAGAGAACAGATTCGAGGCCCGTTATGGCCGAGATCTGTTCTATCTCACACATATTGTAAAGATTGAGGCTTATCTCTAACTTAAAACATAGCACCCCTTTATTCTAATATAGAACACCTCTATTTTTAATATAAACCTGTTTTGTAGCCTTTGTCTATGACAAGTGGCTTTCTTTTGAAACTACTAGGGTAGCTCTCCCTCTGTGCATCCAACCATATCAATGCTATTCATCACATAAAACACAGCTAATGGTAACATCATGACAGGTAGTTTTACCTTTGACTGTGTTATATGTGATGAATTGCATCGATATGGCTAAATGCACAAATCATGCTTTTGGGGTGCACGGTTGAGCTCTGTAAATTAATTTTCACCATGTCATCCGAGGTTAATGCAGGAATTTTCCTTACCCAATCTACGTGTTGTAATCCTAGTCATTCAAAGGACACAGACAGCGTGCAACTGTAGCCACAAGATTGTATGCTGCTGGTGTGGATGAGCAGCTAGTGGCCGAAAAATCTGACCATAGATCATCAGCCATAAGATCATACATGCGTACCTGTAATGACCAGCCGGTGCAAGTCAGTTCAGTGGTACAAGGTTCAAGTTCAGTGTCATCTCCAAACAAAATCAAAGTGCTTTGTGCAAAACAGGAAAATTCCATTCCTTCGGGCAGCAGAGAACTCAACATAAATGCTGCAGATATGTGTTTCACTCTAAAATTCTAAAAAAAGAAACCCTGGAATATACAAGCAATATGTGGAGGCACTTTGTGTCTGTTGACACATTTTCTTGGAATGAATTTGATTCAACTAATTAATTCTGTTGAATTTTTTAGTGTTAATTGCAATAAGCTATTTCAAAACATGGCTGCCTGTAATGTTCTTTTGTGTTCTGGGTAGGGCATTATAGAGACATTACCTATAACTCTCCCATAATATACCTGTAACTGTCTTATAAGTGACTGCCCAATAAGAGAATCACATATAAGACAGCCAAAGGTAACATATGGGATAGTTACAGGTAATGTTCCCATACTAACGCAGTTAAAGTACAGAAAGAACAATGAATGACAGCACAGCTATGTTTTAACAGGAGGTTCTGGCCCTCCTGACTTAACGAAGATATCTTAACACAAATGATAATTTTCCTAAAATGTGTACGCTTGTACGAATAAATTAATAAGCTCTTGATCAACCGCTTGTGTTAGTTTTAAAATTTATGTTGCATGAATCGGCATATCGTTCAATTTCAACTTTTCAATGTGTGAAAATTAACTAGATGTGATCTGCGTCAACTGGCATAGGGGAAACAACTCACGTTTTCATTTTGTCACTGCTTGATTGCTGGTTGCTCAAGATATGAGTACTTCGGTTTTCTACTAATACCGATAAACATAGTTCACTGCCAAGGAGAGGACTTATATTAGTATTCTGTTTTATTAAATATATTGTATAGTTTTCAAATAAATGTTTATGATTAAAATACAAAATGTGAAATATATTATACTATATTTTATTTTTTTTAAATGCAACTTTTTGGCAGCTTCGTATCGTATAATGGTTGGTCTTGTGAAACTTTTTATTCCCCGTTCACATTGTTACACTAGATGCTAGATATCACACTTCAAAGTTGGTCACACAAGTGATTTAATCATTTTCTTGATCCTACTAAGGGAGAAAAAACCCCATCTCATTCAAGGTTGTGTTTGATAGACTCGTTTTCTTATATGATACAGATGTACCTCACATCACCTATCCTCTTCATACCTTTTGGAACATAAAGCCTTGATGCAACTTTTCCATTTCATCCTGCGTTTTGCCATCGTCCTCCCTTCACCCTAATCTCTCCATCTAAGCCTATTTTTGTTGTTTTTGGTCTTTGTACACATTTTCTGCTTCATGTTGCTATGGCAGTGATGTTGCACAGATCCCTTCGTTATCCATCCTTTATATATGGCCAGTCTATGTCCACCCGTTCTCTGTGTTCCAGTCGAATTCAGTTTGACTGTGTCTGTCCTCTGATGTAGTTCGTCATTTGATACCTTATCTGACTACCGAATCGTTATTAATGGTCGTTAGCGTGTATTATGGAAGATGTCTATTTTCTGCTTGTCGCCTCCGTAATTTTCAAAGTTTCACATCCATAAAATAAAACTGATATAACCAGGGTGTTGAATGCTCTTTATATTGTCTTTTTAGTGAAAATGTACGAGTTCATTCATTTTCTGAGTTTGTGAAATTGTGTCCTTGCTTTACCAGGTCTGATCTTGATATCTTCATTACAGTTCCCTTTCTTGTGAATATCCCTCCTAAATATGTGAAAATGTCCACATCTTCTGTCTTCTCCACCCAGCTTTACATTTTGTTCCATCCTTGCATTCATCCTTATTACTCTTGTTTTGCTTGCCTATATGGTTTCACTTTAACAAATTCGGCAACCAATGTATAATTTACGTGCGATTCATAACCTTGAAATAATGGAACTGAATGTGCCCTGGAACATATTGAAATGATATGGAATAATTTAACCGATTACTTCCTGTCATATTTACAATTTTATTCATATATAATTCTGCTATAATCGGTTACCATGGCATGGTCTGTTTTTACATTAGCTTTGATGTTCATCTCACCAAACGTTAGATCCTGTCTGTTCCGCTTACTTAATACTTAATATCTGTGTATTTGTATTGATATCTCAGCTAATCACTTATAATGTTCTTCCATTTATGTAAATATAAATCGCATTTGCTGTTAACGTTATCTGTATTATAGTATTCAATATTTAATTTCAATAAATTTTATTGTCAAAAGACAAATGGATTTGGCAGCAGGCATAGACTATTTAAGCCCTCTCCTAACACCGTAACAATAGATATTAGAACACATACAAACACATTTAAACAATTTGATATTATCAAAAAATAATCAAAGTAGGAGAAACAACTACTAAATCCATTATTATTATTGAATCTAATGGTATAAATTCTAACCTTTCATTTTAATACAGAAAAGATATATAAAATATATACATGTTATCAAGAGAAAAGAAAAAACAATTGTTTATGGAAATGCATGTATAAAGATTTGATGGGATTAAATAACCGCATCCAACAGATACAGGCCAAAAAGTCCATTGTAACACACAAGGGCATCCATTGATATGTTTGGAAATTCAATCCCTCGAAATAGTTTAAGTTATGCGTAGTTAAATATGAAAAAAACATGTTGTAAAGCTTTATATTCTTATTTATGTAGGTGTTTCCCAATATCCCCTTCCTTATCATCAATATCAATTTTGAAAGTATGTCTATCTTCTGTGCACCTAATGGTTTGGCAAATTACCCTGATTAATAGTCGTACGAAGACAAGTCTTACCTTGTAATCGGGAGAGAATGCCAAACGCGGCCACTGTCACCCTGGATTTGTCGTCCAATAGTACCTCTGTATTAGAACACTTCAGAAAGCAAGAGATTATAGAGGATAGTTCGACCTACCTGTTATTTCCAAAACACGGCCATGTAAGACCTTTTTGAGCTAATAGACTTATATGTAGATGCGCTAAAACTCTGCATGCAGAAGTGTTATGATTCATTACATAATATATTGAAATTTAGATGACTATTTTGTTTTATTGTAGTTTCTGATGCGAATTGAAATTCGTATGACTATCATTTGCTTGGTGTTTGGCACGTGGGGATTTGCGGTTGGATTTCAGTTTAATAAATACTGCCCTGAAGTTTTACCTTCCAAGTGTTTCTGTAATAAAGCACTTACCAGTGTTAACTGCGAGGGTCTACAACTGACTGATATACCAGCTGGCATACCAAAAACTGTAGAAAAACTATATCTGACCCATAACTACATAGATACACTCAAAAGCTCACGCTTCGGTGTTCTTCCAAATCTCAAGGAGCTGTATCTCCAAAACAATAAGATTATGAAACTTCAAATGCACACCTTTCACGCTCAATACACTCCAAATCTAAATCTGCTCCGTTTAGACAATAATGTCATTGCTTCTCTGGAAAAGTGGTCATTTTACAACCTAACAGTTCTTGAACACGTGTACGTTGGAAACAACTACATCAAGCAAATTGATGAGAACGCTTTTTTCAAATGCACGAGCATCACGTTCGTTATTCTGGACAGTAACAAACTGACAAGAATTCCTCCTCTAGGAACACTTCAAGGACTACAAAGTTTATATATCCAAGCCAACGGTATCAACAACGCAACATTTCCGGCTGAGTACAGGAACCTAACTCAGCTGAAGAATATTGGTCTTAGCAATAACTTCATTCGTATTCTAGGAAACGAAACTTTTGAAGCTTTGAGCACAACAACAGTCATCAAGTTAGAACTATCGAGGAACAAAATCGACAATATTTCTCGTCACGCTTTTGCCCCGTTGCACATGATTCAGTCTCTGAAGCTCGGCAGAAATCCAATAACTGCTCCAGTACTTGAAAGTGCGCTCGTTGGTCTGCAGGGGAAGCCTCTTCGTTCCTTGAACATCGCTAACTTGACTCTAGGTGGATTCATACCCAATGCCACATTCCAGCTTCTCCGAAACACGACCATTAACACCTTACTCATGGCAAACAATAGGATTCAACACATTCCTGACAGAGCATTTGCAGATCTGGAAAATTTACAGCTACTTGACCTCAGCAGCAGTGGTATAACATCAGTAGCCGATACAGCTTTTGATGGTCTAAAAACTTTGACTAATCTCAAACTCAATGATAATGTTTTGGATGATGTCCCCAACCATATGCCAACCACTTTACAACTGCTATATCTCAATGGGAACCGAATCGCCTCTCTTCCAGACGACATCTTCTCCAACCTCAACAACCTTCAGAGGTTATACCTTGGGGGAAACAACATAGTGACACTTTATCAGTCTTCCTTTAACGGGCTTGTCAATCTGAAAACATTGCATCTCGCTCAGAATAAGATCAGTACTCTACCCGGGAAGGTTTTTCAGCCCTTCACACGTCTGATATCTCTTGAGTTGAACAGGAACAACATCAAAAGCATTTCAGATCCGTCCTCCTTGTTTGATTCTATGAAAGCTCTTCAGAATCTCAATCTGGCCGACAATGCCCTCGGAATAATGCCCACAACTTTATTTAATCAATTGTCCTCCCTCCAATATCTCCATTTGGAGAACAACAACATCGGGCTTGCCATGGAACACGACAGAGAGGGACAACTCTTTGCAGGTCTTCACAAACTACAAACTATTGACCTGACAAATAACCAAATAAAACTTATCTATGATTCCAGTTTTCGCGATCTTAACACTCTGCAATCACTAACTCTTCGTCAGAACCGCCTGTCTGCCTGGAGTCCCCATCTCTTTAACAAGATGGTAAAATTAAAAACTCTCGATCTTAGTCACAATATGATAGCACTGGTCAACAGTACGTCCCTTCAGGATTTGGGCAACCTTATGTCACTCAATCTTACAGAAAACCCTTTCGCTTGTACATGTGATCTACGTTGGTTTAGAGACTGGGTCAATACGACGGACATCGCAATTCCTGGATTGACTTCCTACGTTTGTAACAGCCCCGTGGCTTGGCGCGGAAAAAAGCTCTTGTCGTTCGACCGGACAAAAATCAATTGTCTGTTCTTCACCTTGCCAGTGCTCTTGACCGTGGTAGGGGTGGCTGTGTTCGTAGTGATCATAATTATAATATGTCTCTACCGTAAGAGATGGTTTATCCGACTCCGATGCCATCGCATGTGCAGACGTGTTCGCAGAAAAGTGCAGAAGGCCCCAATAAACTACGAACCGGTCCCTGGCACAGGCAACACGTTTGACGCATATTTGTCGTGTGCAGAAGATGATTGGGGATGGGTTCTTGATAATATTCTTATGGGTATTGATAACGGCAAGCTGATGAACGTGGATTTTGGAGGTGAACACAAGCTTTACTTTGATCGTAGAGATTCGGAACCCGGAAAGTCAAATATAGGCAATATCGTGGACAACATGGAAGCTAGCAGAACAGTCATTATTATCCTTAGTAATAACTATGTTTCTGACCCGAGGTATGCATTCGAATTAGAATTTGTCATTATGTTGAAGGCCAAAGGAGTTATAGAAGATTTCATCATCGTGGCAAGTGAATATCTGAAAGTCAAACGCGTGCCGAAAGCGCTGCATCCCATGATGGCGAGTGAGAGGTACCTCCAGTGGGAGGATAAGGATGACGCAGTACAGACTATCAAGGGGAAATTAAAAGATTTCCTATACAAACGTGAGTATCCCTAATTCGGGGATATTAACTCATTCACCCCTGAAATTTCATAATGAACTAGTCCAACCTTTAAACTTTAGAAGTTCAAATGTATTTTTAGGGACGAATGAGTTAAGAATTTGTAAAAAGTCTATTGATCGCGAAAATCACAAAACAAAACACGCCAGAATATCTACGCGCTATACAGTATACGTAGCATATTGTTCAGTAATATTACCAGTAACCGCCAATGTATATAAATAATAATAAATCATAGAGATTTCAAATCGTACCAAAACTAACATGTGTAATAACCGAAGAATAAGCGCGACGACGTCCTTTATTCCCACCAGAACATAAATGTACAAAGATTCGCCTGGTCACTGTTACACAAAGCTGACACCAAATAGATATATTAATCAATTTCAGAACTATATAGTATGAAAGATGGCAGTTGTTCACCCTCCCGGCAACATTAAGGCACCATGCAGAATCAGACTTGTTAATTAAAACAAAATGCTTGGTGTAGATGAAAACAAACTATTAGCGGTGAGAACAGCGTTGTCGATATCTAAATTGCTCACTTTATAATAAGAAACTCTTCGTGTTCGTTATAGCAACCGTTGTAAATAACGCTTTCATCGTTAAATTGTAATTTATATACACCTACATCGTTGCATATATGTACACCAGGAGTGGGAGAATAATTTAAAACGAAAGTCCTGGGCCGTTATCGTTTATCGCGGTCCAAACGGTTGAACCGGTTTGACCAAAGTTGTTCGGTTAATGAAATAAGGTCGGACCTAGTAATCTGATGCTGCTTTCAGGCGAGCCTTGACCAAGCCTTGCACTTTTGCAGGTCCTAGGATTTATACCCAAAAATGTTACATTTAAAAACGAACGTACCGGTTGTTCCGCATAAACGAACAGGCGCCTTGTTTTATTTAGATTTGGGGTTATCAGTGAACATAAATATAAATCAATATACACGATACCCCTACGCTCACGTACGTTCTCTGTACTCCCATATCTTGATAAAATAGAAGGCACTCAGTTCACCGTTACATTGTTTCCAGGTAAAAACTAACCTGAACAATCGCATAAGTTGATGAGAATACTTAAGGAAGGTCAAAGAGGTTACAGAGGTGGCGCTATCGATTTGGTTATGCCATACATCTTCCACGGGTGCAGGGAACGTAAGAGAACGATTCCCCCTCCCCCTCCCCCTCCCNAGTATAGACAGAGGTCCCAATGATAAATAATTTTCTTATTGATGTACAGTGTATTTTTTAGAGCTTACAGTTTTCACATGAGAGCATTTCTAGCTTTTTGATCCAACAGTTGTAGAAGAAGTAAAATAGTCAGAGGTTCCAATGATAAACATTTACAAATTGATGTGTATTTTGTACAGCTTATTATTTTCACGCGAGATTATTTCTAGCCTTTTGATCCATCAGTCATTTAAAAAAAAAGACATGCCATGGAGATGTGAATACCTGTGAACTATTATAGCATGCTCTTAAAGAGTCATCAGTTGTATGCTCTTAAAGAGTCATCAGTTGTATGCTCACTAAGAGTCATCAGTTGTATGATCTTCAAGAGTCATTAATTGTATGCTTGAAAAGAATCTGGAGTTATATGCTATTAAAGAGTCACCAGTTGTATGCTTATTGAGAGTCATAAGTTGAATGCTCTTAAAAAGGGTCATAAGTTGTATGCTCTAAGAGTCATCAATTGTATGCTCTTAAAGATTCATCAGTTGTATGCTCTTAAAGAGTCATAAGTTGTATGCTCTTAAAGAGTCATCAGTTGTATGCTCTTAAAGTGTCATCAATTGTATGCTCTTAAAGAGTCATCAGTTGTATGTTGTTATGTAAAGCAGCAAGTTTTATTGATCATTAAACTAAACCTTAACCAGTTAAGGTTATCAGAATGACATCATTTGTTCATAGTATCAAGTTCCCTCAACCATTATAGCTAATCAGAATGACATCTTTCGTCCTTACCTGATAGTCTCTTAGCCATCCTGCCCTCAAAGGGCCCAAAGAAGAACCCTTGGTTTATCTAATAAATAAAAATGAATGAAATATTTTAGGTTTAGGGTGGACACTCTAAAACAATTCCGTCGCTCGTCAGTGACACTACAATGACATCTATCAGGAATTAGAAGTAATTTTTCAAAATCTTGTAGACAGTTTGGTCGTTGTAGACAAATTAAGTCAGCCATTGTAAATCTTGCAGTATCCTTTTCTAAAATGTATAACTTCATCGGAAAATGCCCAAAATAAAAAATAAATAAACAAGTCTCCTTGAAAAGAGAGTTGTGCTTATTGAATAGAATTGAAAAGTTACTGTTTTCCTTTTGGTACATAAGGAAGTTGTTTTTATCATTATAAGTGGAACAATAATATATCCTCCAAAGTAAATCAGTGGAGAAATCACTCGTACAATAAAGGCTTTTACCAACTCCGACAGAAATTTGAAAGTAAAATTAGCAAATATTTTTCAAGCTACTTGAATAACAGCTTTAAGTTTTCTTACAAAAAACTTGCTATTTTTGTAAGAAGTAAATCAAATCTCAGGTTAGGAGGGATTGAGATCTGAAAAATGATAAAGTGTTGCTGATATTTTTATGAATGACTACAAGATCTTGATATCATTTCACTTTTGTGTTAATGGTAGCTACTACCCCACTGCTATATATTCACGTGTAACTTGGTCTGTTTTGATTTACAATGTTTTTTGTGGGTTTTTTTTTAGTTACATTGTGGGGTTTTTTTGATCATTTGATATGTTGGTAGTTATCTTTGATGTTAATAGTTATAATGCACTATTATTATACACATTGTATATACATGTATATTATTTGAGGGACAGACAGGTTTTTGTCAAATTTGTTGGGTGTTGTGGTTAAAATGAAAATGATATTGGATTTATTCCACATTCAACACTAGTAGAAAAAACAGGACATATATGTGTTTTGAAAACTTTCTTGTGTTTAAAAGACTTTGGCATACAATAAACCTTGTTATACTGCCACAATGTTTCCCAAAAAGAATTTGGTGTTATAAAGGTGTTAGGAGATAAATTGAGGGATATAAAGGAATAACATGTATTTTTATTTAAACAAGAGAGAGAAAGTGGACTGTGATATATGTTTGCTGCATACAATGTGGCAAATGACACAGGGGACACCAAATCCAGGTTTACTGTTACTAGTATTACTTTCTGCTCAGGAGTTGGGGCTCCTCCTTTAAAAAAGCCTCGATCCAGCACTCACTTAGTTAACCACTTGTATAATAAAGGTGATAATTCACTTCCGAAATTTTTTCTTGTTTATAATTGTGTTTTACTACCAGTTTTTTAAAATATGTAATCAATTGAATTCCATCAAGTCTGCGACCTGGAGACTTAGAAACAGCATTTGTCAACATAGCTGTACTTGTAAGCCGTTCACACTGGACATCATACCTAAATCCTACAATTCAGGATTGACGATTACTTGAAATTTGGTGAATGATTTATCTAATCACAGACCATATATAAAATACTGAATAATACAGAGCATTCTCATATGCTCTCCTTGTTTTATTTTTTTTGATAAAAACACCTAAGATCAGTTAGTAAATGGTACATCAAGCGTACTATAAACATTGTCATAATATAATTACAATAAAAGCTGTAAATCAATGTTTGGGATTCGTAAATTTGCTACTATAAAAATGATACCTTTTCAGGAAAAGCGACAATGATTTTCAAAATAAGACAAGTCCTAATCTCTTACAATTATAAAATCCTGTAATACTTGCCAGATTAGAATAAATCACAATTCTGATGTCCAACTAACATGGGAATCAAACAGAGTATAGACTAGTAAAAACTGAAACATCAATCTTTTGGAAACATTGAGCTATTATTCAATAAATTTCTCATGTAGATGCTGAGTTTTGAAAGTTGTTGCCGAGAAGTGAACATAGAATCAGGAAGTATAACCCTCCCAAATATTCCTGTTGTGCTCACCAAGCGTATAACGTTCTACAAGACATGCACTAAATTTAGTCTTTGTGAAAGTACACGTACATGTCGTGACATTGAGATAGAGGTTTATTGGTACTGAAGGAAGAGCTTGATCTATCCTTGCTGATCTAGAACTTGTACAACGCATCAACTTTTGACCTTGAAGTTTGAAACATGATCCCAGGAATGTTATGCAGCACACCATCTTAGTATGACATACACATTAAATTTTTGAAATCCAAGAGTTAACACTTTCAATATATCAGTACTGATTGCATATGTGATATCAACAGCAGAGTTCTTAGTTTTCAAAGATGCCCACCTCTATGATGTTTTATAATGAAATCTTAAGGTATATTATAATGAGTTCATAAATTTCAAAATCTTAATATTTAACCTTTCGCAATGACCTTGATCTTTGACTTTAGCAACCTTGGGGCACATCTTAAACAAATAATTTATTTCTCCTGAACATTTTTAACCAGTGCCTACACATTTTCCTCTGATATTAGGTTTGTTCAAGCATATACTCTATACTTTACAGGAGAACACTATGCGACAATGACAAAATTGACTGAATATATCAATAATTGTATCCAGGAAGAATTTAGAATCAGAAAAACAAAGTTAAGTGAAAGGTAATGAATTTTGAACAATACAGTGTTGTTAGAGCAAGAGTGTGAGGCTGTAGACAAAGAGGGGAGTATTCTGTCAACGTTGATGTCGGGACAAATAGCCTGGTACTTAAATGTGGCAACCAGACAATTGACGCCGTGACCGATGGTCCACCTGCCAGTGATCCATTTGAGGACAATTCTAAAAATAAAGTATCGTGTTAAAACCATTTGGCTAAATTTTACGTAAGAAAAAGATGCAAACACTGCTAAGCATTTCAACAGATTTTATATAAATTTTGGTAATGCATAAAATCAACGATTTTGAAAAATATCTATAAAAATCATAAGATTAATAATGATCTTTCTAGCTCCCTTTTTGGTATGTATCTTCTATTGACAGTTGGAGTCATTGATATTTGTAATCATCACGATCTAAAATGCCACAATATCATAGTCTTCTTGCACGGAATAATGTCAACTCCACTTGTGACTGACTGTATAATACTCTCAACTGAAGTTAGACCATTGAATGTTGCTGTACCAAACTAATCCAGGTAGGTTCCTCAGGTTGGGAATTTCCTGTAATGAAGTTGTATAATACTCCAGTATGATCCTCTCCTGTGATACACCACTCCCAGGATTGCAGGTATTTTTGGCCACTTACAGAAATGTATAAGAAAATCCTTACCTAGAAAAGAACAGAAAATGAGCTATCAAAACAACATCACGTGTTTGGTAATACTTACCTGTGAACCACCTGTATAAACACAACTTTTAGGTAGTAAGGTAACAACATGAATGGATCAACTGCCTTAAAACCAAAAAATAAATTGACACGAAATTCTGTTTTTATTGCAAACACTTACACACCCTTTATGAGCATAAAATTCCAACATTGTCCTAAAAACAATAAAAAAAAACTCTTTGTGTTATCAACTACCGGTGGTTAGTATTTCCATTTGAAAAAAAAGTTACTGCCCTCAAATAGTAACTGTTGAGAAGTGATAAAGACTTTTCTATTGTAACTAGTATAGATTTTGGACCACAAGTGTTGTAGATGGTGGGAGAAGGGATCAACAACCTTGTGAAGTCAAGTCCAGGCTCCGTACCAAGGATGTGTCACCTAAAAAACAGAAACAGGCAACCAGTAATACGTCAACACAACACTGTAGGGGGGCTCAAACCAAAAACATTTCTTTTAAAAAGCGATTTTGTCATTTCAACGGAAAAAAGTTTCATAAGCTTTTAAACAGAAGGATTTTCTTCTTGTTTTTCTTGTTTTAAATATGAAAATTGTAGTATGCTCAGTAAAACCTATATCTCCAGTATTTTTAATGGTTTATGTAAGGGATGAGCCCCCCTTTATCTGAAAGAAGGAAGTTCTGAGGCCTGAGGGTAGGGAACCTAACGGTGGTCTCTTTGGGAAACATAAGAAGTAGGGCATTGGATGTCACCCTTGATGTACTGTAATGAATAAATACTGGTTTATCTTTTTCATCCCAATAAGAATGTAACTGCTTTTCCTTCACCAACGTTTAGGCGTTCAAGGACGTATTTGGATGTTAAGCATGCAGCAGGATCCTGAATGGACATTCTGTGGTTAAAAATCCATTACAAAGCTTACATGTGCAGCACTCAATATCTCTGCAGAGAAGATTCAATTGTGAAAGCTTAGCATTGAACCAGGTGACACTGCACTAAAACTTGGGATCGGGTATCTCGTATCTCATCCTTTTCTAGCAAATAATAAAGTCTAATAAAGTCTTACTATCACTTTTGGATGATTTTTAATAACTTTTTTCAAGGTTCAGTTTTTTAATTTCATATCAAAAGTGAAATATTGTTTGCCTTTTCTGGAAAGCTTAACAAGATGTTTAAATTATACAGTTAACAGTAGTTAATCCTGTATAATTCTAACTGATATTTTAACCTCAAAAGTGTTCCTTTTCGAACAAACGGTTTTTCGGTAAGGCATTAACAAAAGCGCTCTATGCATCCCAGTATAGTCTTCTTTGGCCAATAATTGATATCAAAATTATACTAAATCTGACCCTGCCCATATTATTTTGAACAAAATCTGACCCTTGCAAACAAATCAAAATGTTTCTGAAATAAAAGTGAACGGGTTCAATATAACAACAAATTCAGTCATGCATGTCTATAAAATAAGACTGTCATGTCCAGGAACGGGTAACATTACATGATCTGTCATGGTTGACCGACTTCCTGTTTCCATGGTAACACGAGGCTGCCATTGTAGCGATAATTTCGTGACCAGTCACTTCTGAAGAGGGAACAGCTCTCGAACCAGATGGATGCAAAAGAGAAGAATTACACTGTTTGAGAAGGATTCTTCCAAGTACAAACATGTCTTTTCATGTTCATATTTGTCTGGTGAATTCCACAATTATCTTTATTGAATTATCCAACAATAACTCTTATAGACTCAATCTGATAAACCATGAAAAAGTTTGTGAAAATCATCTCGCACTATATTCCGGGTGCATATAGCTATCAATTTTAGCCAATCAAATTTAATTTCATTAGTATTTAAACAACAGTACGCTATGGCACATGCATTCTTCTTTTAGATTGAGTATACAATATCTGTAATAACTTTGTGAAGATTCTATGAAAGCTCTCTGCTCCAGTAACTGAACTTCATCATTATTTCAACACATAAAATGTGTATATAATATTTTTACATTGAATTTTATGAAATTTATAAATTTCAACAACTGATCATAAAGGAAAAAAGATTGATTTTTTTTTTGAAAGGTACACATGTTTCGTTACTGGAGTAAATAAGACTTTCAACTTGCCAGAAAGGCAATGCCAACTGAAAAAATTCAAATGTTAAACAAAATCTCACGAGTAAAAAATGTAGTTACCACTCAATAAAACAGGAAAACTTAAGATATGGCTTGGAAATTTTAATCCATAGTTGTATCTGTCCAAACGGAAAGAAATATACAATTTTAGAGATTTTCACCTCTCTTCATCAAATGTCGCTACATGTTATAACCAATATATCTAACAGAAAATTCTATATCTTGAAGTAACATGACAAAAAACAGATGTACTTTATTAGACATAGCATGAAATCAGGACAATGTTTTATAGTTGTCTACACAATTCAACATTTTGGAACAGTGTATGATACATCAGATTTGATATTTTTTACAAACTTTTTATTCTAAATGACCATGAGCAGTTCTATTTACTATGTAGATGTTTTTCTTACGAAAGGACATTTTGGTACCTTTCAAAATGAATGTTCTCAAATCTAAAAAAAAAAAAAAAATTAAGCGAAAAATCAATGAGTTTAGAACCATTTCCATTAGTATGATATGTTTTTGGATGATGAGATATAGAATTGTAAAGACTTATCTGAGTTATATGACAATGTTAGCTGTCAACGGCAGTAACATGTAGGTCTGGCCTAAGCTTGCCTGACCTGGAATGAAAAAGTCAGAATAATTTAGGAGAAGGGTTTTTGATACCAAATCATGCTCTAACTATACATATCTAAAAAAGGACAATATTTTTTTTTGTATTTTAAAAATAAAGTTTAAAATAAAGAATATAATGCAAGAACTACAAGAAAAGCACATACTTAAATGAGAAAAATATTACAATCATTAATTCAACTTTATCCTTTTATTTGATTTTTGAATGCAGATATTTATAACTTTCATTTTATGAGAATTACAGAAAAAAAAAGTACCAGTAACAAAATGTTTTAAACATGCTGCAATTTATACCAGAGTTTAAATATTGCCTTACTTGACATTCAAAAGTTTAAAATAACACGTTTTACCTGTTCGGAAAGACTGATTGTTTTTTCTCTCTCCAAGTCTGAGTATCAACATTGTGTAAAAAAAAGGGTAACTTACCTAGTTTAGTACAAACAAACACAGCTGATGCACAAGTCTACAATTAGCCTGGCATATGTTTAACATAAAGTCTGAAATAATTAAAAATCACACTAGGTTTTATACTCATGGTTACCTTTGAAAAACCTTTTCCATCATTATAACTAACAAGGTGAGTGATTGGTCCATTCACAATCACAGTCTTCCATCAAAACATAATACAAGCTCTGTGATTGGTCCATCACATCATCTTTGATTTCATGGAACATATCTGCTGTTTCATTCACTGAAATGTAAACACGTGATTATCATAATCATTAAAATAGTGTATAGTATCAATAGTAACGTAAACAAAGTCCCCTTTCTTCGTCCTTTAACAAGAATATCACACCTGTGTGAGATTTCATATGTATACTCAGTATGTATTGAACAGAAACAGCAACATTGATCCCTGTAAGAAAAGCACAAGTTCACATGTAAAATGTTCTTTTTGTGTGTGTAGGATTTATATCTTACCGCCACTAACATTTCCCCACTTTCCAAAGAGTCAAATAAACCATGTGGTTTACCTATCTGTGTCGGAAAATCCACATTTTTGTTCACAAAATGTTTGAATTTCTATCACTCAAACATTTTATTATTTTCTGAACCCACAATTTGTCAGTAGTCCACTCTCTGAAGTATTCAGTGTCACGGTTACAGCCTTTGAACTCATCACTGTCAAGGTGACCACAGTCTAGATCTTCTCCTGAATGAATGGGTGAGTGAGAGCCTGGTTTATGGTGATCCTCTTACTCGCGTCCATCATCAGCACCTTCTCCAGTAGGTCCTTTAGCTGTGTGACCTTCCTGAGTTGGTCATCTGGGAGACGCTGGTAACCAATCAGCTCAGCCAGAAGGTCCTTGCATGGGTTGATCATGCTCAATACTGTCACTTTCTCCTGTAATTAAAAAGGCGGTCCGCTGACTCACAATACCCAAAATGGTATATTTACACTCGCCATCTAAACAACTTCATAAGTATATAAATACACGCGTATCTAAAGCTACTGGCTTTGAAGGCAGTCGTTATATATTATTTTTTCGTATATATATATATACAGTCGAACCTCGTTATCTCGAAGTCGACAGGGTCGTGGGAAAACTTTGAGTTATCCGAGTATTCGAGTTATGCGGGTTCATAGATTTGGTATGAAATTTGCTGTTGGGACATAGCACTAGCAGTTGTTGGTTTTATTAATAGTTAATGCTTTTAATCAATCGATAAATGATATACGTAATCAATATAACAAATACAGCTATGTAATTTTACAATAAACACGCTTACAAAAATAGACTAAGTTATTTCAGAAAAACGTACTTTCGTTTTTAAACGCTATCAAAACGGTTGGACCATTTTGTGAATTCGTTATTAAATATGGACGGGCCTAGTGATTAAATGTTGTTTTTGGCTAGTATAGATCTTGGCAAATCTTTCCAGGTCTGCATTTGTATTTGTAAGTCCGTCAAGTTTTACTTCTGAAGTGTTACATTTCAAACCGAACTATCCCGCTGTCTCTGATCTCGTAGTTTACAATGCAGAAATGAAAGTGCGCAAGTCTAAAACAAATCACTATAATGGAGCGTACGCATAGTTGATTCTGTAAATGAAAACACACAAACAAATTATATCGTACATGTGACACATTGATTCATTAAAGCCAAATATGACACCTGACAACTCCTCAACTGGATGTAATCAACAGCAATTATCGTTTTGTTCTTAAATCTCTCGATCGACTTTCAAAGCCATACTGGCTCCTGTAAAAACATGAACCCGTAAAGCTGTCCTAGGTTGTGATTTTAACTGTGGAACTCTTTTATGCATGACCACGCTTTGTGACCAATTTTCCGGTTTGCACTGTCGTCTGTTTAGGTGTACAAATCATTAAACGGACTCGCAGTAAATACAGATTACTGTTGATCAACACTGATGCATTTTGTTTTTTATTATGAATAACATGGTTTTGACAGTCCGTAAACTTAAACAGTCCTAAGCTTTATCGTAAATTCTTTTTTACTGATTTCATGCTAGTCTACTTACGAAAGATGTTCATAAACACGGAATGGCGAAATGTACTTTTGCGTTTTATTTGTATCAAAGAATTAACAAGTGACAAAATGAAATTTGGATACTACGTTGGATTGACGCTGTTGAAACCAATATTTTACTTCGAGGTATCCGAGTTTTTCGACTTTTCAGGGTTCGAATTATCAGAGTTTTATTTACTAAGATAAAGAACAGATTTGGCCAGGACCGGAGAGATACTTCGAGATAAACAGGGTCTTCGAGTTAAAAGAGTTCGAGATAACGAGGTTCGACTGTATATATATACAGATTGATATTGAAATACTTCAACAAAACTCATGCAAATATACGACAATACAACAAGTGAAAAAACACCTGAATTTCATTTTCAAAACGCTCACAGCATACCATGAACATGTCATGACAAAATTGTAGGTTTACTGGGCACCACCTTGCAGACGATACAAAAAGACTTGTTCAATCCTTTGATGTATAAAAAAGAATACCGTGATAGCGTAACAGTAAAACTGATGAGCTTTCAAGTCAGGTGTTGCCTCAAAGGACAGGTATCAGCCCAGTGATCGGTAAAAAAACAACACCTGAGAACAATCAAATGGCTAAAAGCATGCCTTCAATTTCGTTGGACAAATTAAAGGGGTGCAGATCTAGAGAGTGTAAGTGAGCGTAATCCCTTGAGTAGTAAGGATGCATGTATGTAATATATACCGTAAATGAAACATTCCATGGGTACATATATACAAGATACAGCAACAGGTTTACATGTAGTTATGAAAGTACAGCTCTAGAACCACCTATAACTAATTCAGCAATAAAAACATGTGCATTTATGAAGACACAGCCACAGTTTCCCCTTTATTTATGAAGATACAGCAACAAAAAAACTTGTCAATATAGATAAATCTACAGAAACGCCTATATATGATAGAGCAGCGAAAATATGTGCATCTATAAACACAAAGTAACTTGTATATATATAGATGATTAAGCTCAAAAACTGCATTCTCCAGCTGTATTTTTGTAACAATGAATAGAAAACTCCCTAGCATACAAAATGTTAACTATAAAAAAAACACCTGATTGAAACAAGTGTACAGGTGAAAATCAATTAACTATAAAAAAACACCTGATTGAAACAAGTGTACAGGTGAAAATCAATAACACAGTCCATGATAGTAAACCCTGTTACACGCAACCATCCAAATAATCCTATTTCTGTGGCCCATTTAGTCTGACCTAAACAGATAGGGGCATAGCAGCAGAACACCTCACTGAAAATCATACAGACAAGACCAGTACTTCACCAGTACAATCTCTTCAAGCTTCTCTCACTTATGACATAATGCAGAAAAACTTTAGTAGATGTCTACAATGTTTTAATTTTTAAACATCAATCAGAACATAACAAGGTAAACAGCTCTTCATCAAGTTTTTGATAACACAATTGATATCTGCAAATACATTAGCATGATGCGTATAAATGTTCCCTAAGTGTGACTTTGTAAATACATAGGCAAGGTGTATCTGAACTTACCCTGTGTGTCACTTTGTCCACCTCATGGTACAGGAAGTTGTAGCTGGGATCAAAGTGTTGGTCCCTAAACATACCCTTCCTGATCATCTTGTTTGGCATCTTGCCTTTAACGTCCATCATGAATTTTAACATCTCATTGTTGGAAGAGCCAGGGAAGAGGATTTTACCCGTGTACAGTTCAAAGATGGTGGCCCCTACAGACCACAGGTCAGCACTGTGATGATATCCCATCCCGATGATGATTTCTGGGGATCGGTAGAAACGACTCACCAGATACGGTGTGATGTCATTCTCAGAAACATGGGAAGCAGAGCCAAAGTCACACAACTTTAAAAGTAACTTAGACTCATTCACCTGGAAGGTAAGAATCTTTGACTTAAAAAAAAATCATAGTTTTGTTTTCAAAATTTGCATACAGCTTTTACATCTGGGCAAAACAAATACTGTAAGACATAAATGCCCCCGCTGCCATGTGAAATTTGTTTCAGTGTTCTATAAAAAGTTACAACCACTTTGATATTGATACCCTGAAACATGCACACACACAAGGTACTACATTTTAAGTTGATTTTAATATTCATATGGTTTTTTTCTGTATGTTATTACATCTCCATAACATATTGAATGAAGTTGCTAAGTGTTTAAATTGAATCAGTAGATGATTTTCTATATATAGCAACAGTGACCTTGGCCTTGGAACCCTGAAACACAACAATGTCCAAAGTATACTCATACTTGACCTTTGCATAAAGTTTGACCAAAATCCATGTAAGAATGAAATTGATAAGTGTTTAAATTGAATCAGTTGATGATTTTCTATATATAGCAAGTGTGACCTTGGCCTTGACCTTGGATCCCTGAAATACAACGATGTCAGAAGTATACTCATTCTTGACCTTTGCATAAAGTTTGACCAAAATCTGTCAAAGAATGAAGTTGCTAAGTGTTTACATTGAATCGGGACGGGAACGGGGCGATTTTCTATATATAGCAAGTGTGACCTTGGCCTTGACCTTGGATCCCTGAAATACAACGATGTCAGAAGTATACTCATTCTTGACCTTTGCATAAAGTTTGACCAAAATCTGTCAAAGAATGAAGTTGCTAAGTGTTTACATTGAATCGGGACGGGACAGACATGGGTAACACTATATGCCCCCCCCATTTTATGGCGGGGGGGGGGGCATAAATATATGCAATTAAGACGTAAACTGGTCAATTTTACTGTCAAATCATAACTGGAATAGGAAAGGTTCATGCACAGAAATATTGACCCAGATGAAACTAGTCTCTAGATAAATAAATTGATACATACCAGGATATTGTCTGGCTTGATGTCAGCATGGAGGATGCTAGCTCGCTTGAGAAGTTTGAGAGCAAGGAAAAGTTGCTGGGCGTATGAGCGGACAGCTTTGATGTGCAGACCAATGTCTTTGCCATACTTCTTCAGCACCTCTCTCAGGTTCATACTGGTGCAATACAAAATCGTAAATTACTGTGAATATTACATAAAATATTTGTTGAATTAAGGATACTCCAGGTTGAAAGTTAATTTGTTCCTGTCAGCAACATCCATTGCACAGGTAAGAATGATCTACTTTCCAAAATAATTCTCAACAGCTTACATAGAGCTTACATGGAGCTTACATGGAGCTTACATGTTTTGAATGTTCAATGAAAGGGTAGAGTGAACAAACATATTATTGACACAAACAGGGAAACCATTGTAACAATCTGGCCAGGTAAAAAGACATGTTTACAAAGTTTTTACTGAATATTATATTTACCACTCTGGCCCACATGGTGACATCATTATCATGACATTATAATCGTTAGGTTAGATACCATTGACCTTTCCTTGAAAATGGATGTTCTATTCAATGAACAAGCATACATGATGCATTCACTTATTTAAAGTAAACTCAATTTTTTATGAGATTAACGTTTAAAAAGATGGTAAATATAACAAGTGAAATGCATTCAGGAGGCATTCATAATCATTGTGAATGACAACTGGAAATGACAAATTCAACACCCTTTCGTTGAATTTGTCTTTTCCAGTTGAAATCCGTTCCGACTTTGAATGCCAACTGAAAGCAGTTAAATACTTAAATCTAATATACACATGGAAGCAATGACAAAACTGTGTATACCTCATACACTGTGCATACAATGCAAGGCAAGGCACATACAAGTATAATTATCAAAACATAGGCTATATATTGGACAGTAACATTGTATTATACTAATAAAAGAACTGTGCTTTTTGTCCATTTTGTCTTCATTGTCTCATCATGTGTGGCAGATATAAGAAAAAAAAAACTTGTGTAATCTGGGATTTAAAAAAGAATCTTTTTATGAACAGTCTGGAATTTTCATTTTATTTAACAGTATTATGTCATTTACTGTATTGTAGAATGTAATATTTATTATTAGTAATAAGATACTCACATATAAAGATAATACATTGTAGTATCTAAAGTATCAGCGGAGGAAGTCAATTTGCTTCAGTGGTCTATTTCTACAATATTTTATCTTATAATCCTGCATTGTGTCGGAAAGAATGAACAATTTCATCAATAGATTATGTTCATAGAAGGATTGGGGAAAATATTATTTCGTTTTGTGTTTATTTGCAAAATTGTGTAAATTTTTCATCTGTTGAAGTTTAGTTACTTATGTGTTGTTTCTGACTGTTGATAAAATTCAAATACACATACATGTTAAACTGATTTTAATATAATGTTCAACTATTATCTATTTGCTTATGTAGAAAATAATGATATAACTATGAATTTATACCAATTTAACAGTCCACATTCCTCACATATACAGCAGAAAACTTAGTTTGCCATCAATATTTTTCATAATTTAAGCAACTGAGTTAGACCCCATTAATATTTTTTTCAGTTAAAGCTGATAAGGTATGCTCTTTTAAATGAAAAGCACAAAAAGTGGCAAATGTTAAATTTCAACCTTCCTGAAGTTCTAGCCTCACACTCTGTTGATGGAGTCAAACTATATTTACTCATCACTAAATACTGATAATTAAAATGTGTGCAGTATGCTTTTCATAATTGCTACTAATACTACTAATGCAAACTGATTTCAATAATTTTCTTTTGATAATTAAAAACGTTGTTAAAAACATTTTAAGTTGAAGATTGATGCACTTACCTTAAAGATTCAAACACAAGGCAGAGATGGTTTTTGTGGAAAAAGTGTCTGTACAACCTCAAGCAGTGAAATTTGTCGTCTGGGTCAGCATCATTGAGTTTTCTCAAAAATTCCAGTTCCTTCAGACCAGTCTTGTGCCTGTAAACCAACAGCTGTTCTTATACCAAAGCATAAAAACCAACAGAGATTCTAACATCGAAGCATGAAAACCAACAGTTTCTTACATCGAAGCATAAAAACCAACAGAAATTCTCACACCGAAGCATAAAAACCAAAAGAGTTTCTTACACCGAAGCATAAAAACCAACGCAGTTTCTTACACCAAAGCATAAAAACCAACATACCAGGTATACATAGCTTTTTACAAATTATCACCACTGAGAAAGTATTTTTTCATAGATTTACAAGAATCTGGTTAATTCTCTAACCATCTAAATAACAGACATCTTAGGTGAAAATAAACTGTTAATGTTATCAATTTTAAACATAACAACCTTCCACTTCCACAAGCTTTTCATAAAGATTCAAAAAAATCTAGTTTTATTGTTTTAATGGAACTTTAACGTCTCATTCTGTCAGAACAAAAACTGCCTTCATCATTTATAGAAATAAAACTTGATTCCACATCTTGCTGCCAAACATTTGTTTTTACTTTATCACGGTGCAAGTTGAAATATAAGGTCTCTTCCTGTTTAGTCTTTGTGAAGAGATACCACTTGCTCTTTGGTAATTGGTCTTTATGATCCTCACTTTGTACCCGTTATTCTCAATAACTTACATCATTTCATTGTTTCTGATAATTTTGATGGCAACGTCTTGCCCAGTCCTTGCGGTGTCACGGGCTCGCACAACGTTACTGAACACACCTTGTCCCGTAAACCCAAACACAGTGTAGCGCTTGTCCAGGCTTTCACCAATACGCACCCCTACAAGGAAATACACATAGCTGTAGGTACACCAGCATAAACTTTTATTATCACTTGAGAGGCAAATCAATCTCATATTAAGAAACAGTTTATCTGAAATATCATGACACCATCAACAAGAATGTTTTTCTTGAATTATCTATAACTTTAATAAGATTCATCAGTTTGAACAAATGTAATATCAAAGTGTTACTTCATACACTAATGTATATAAACTACGCTATTTATTGAGGGTTTGGAATCGGTTATAACTGAACCAGTGATTCCTTATTAATTTATACAGATGACCAAAACATCAAACATTGAACAAAAAATATTCTTATGAACTCATACCCTTAATGAAATACTTGGCAAAGTGTTGAAAGCAAAATTAAGTGACTGATGAAGAAATGACAGAGTGTAAACAAAATGTCTCCTTTCCAGGACAAAGATCATACAGTTATAAATAATGACATTCTGCTATTATCATTTCAATTGATCTACCTTTTCATTCATGATCATCTAAAATATGACTGCCCTTACCTATCAAACTGGTGTCTCTTTCTAATATAAAACTGCAGTATTTATGAAATGTTGTATAAACAGGCATCATTCACTTCACACGAGTGTCAGCTTCTTCCAACTGTAAACCTAACTTTTCTCACTCAAATTATACTCAAGGAAAACATGTCCATATCAGGAGGGTTGAAAGTGTGTTATCAAGTCAGTAAGTTAATTTTAACAGACCCAATGATTTGACCAGTCATAAGTGTAGGTAAATATACAAACTGGGTGGTCTGGTCAATAAGATTTCACAGAGTCACTGTGGTCATTTCATTCCTGAAGAGATATTCAATCAGAAACCATGAACCTCAAATATTGTGGTCTAACAGTTAATGCATTTTGAATTGCTTTCATTCCGTCCACCTTACTTACTGTAGTAGCCCTCAGCATCATCCCAGTTGTCTGTGAGGTTGGCGTTTTCGTGAGCAGATGACAAAAACTGGTAAGCACTGCTAGGGCTTTGCTGTTATCGAAAGAAAATGTTAGCATGCATGAAAAATTAACACATCCAACTGTTAGCATGCATGATAAATTAACACATCAAAATGTAAGCATGCATGAAAAATTAACACATCCAACTTTTAGCAACCAATGCTTGTATCTTAACTCTGAATCACTTGTTACTTGAATGAAATATTTTTATTAATATTTTTTCAGCGAAATATTTTCCAGCTTTTCTAAAACTTTCATTTTATTTTATGATCTACAGGATTTGTCTTTTCCTAGGGAGCCACTGGCAGAGGCCCCAGATGAGGAATATTATATATCTCATTAGCTTTGAGAGGAATTCATGTTTGAGCAGGAAACCTGTTTTACATGTTTCTTGAGTTATTACAATTGCTTACATTAAAGACGTAATTTTCATTGAACATGTCTGTGGTTTCTGAAAACATATCCGACTTCTTGGCTGCAGATTTCTCTGTGGATTCCACTGCTTTTTCTAAATAATAAAAAGAAAAACAGTCTTAGAGATTATTCAAATGTCTGATGTAATTATTTTATTTTTTTAATTTCGATCACATCTTTGAATGAGTGTGTACAGGTCTATCTTTGGAGCTCATTATATTTGATCCTCAATTAAAAGAAATGAATTTCCAAAAAGTCTATGATGTCTGTTGTTTCATGAGTCCAGTAAAAGAACCAGTTTTCAATGAAAAAATGAAATATTGACAAATTATGATATTTTTATACAATATTTTCTATTTATATGAGTGAATACAGGAACATGAAAATCGTGAACTGAAGAGCTTTTAACAAAGTCCTGAAGAAGCTCAAAGATAAAGCTCTCGGTCAACATCTATGACATACCTTCCTTGGTGTCGTTGGCAGAGAGGTCTTGTAATGCTTTCCGTTTTTTGTCCATGGACTCCTCAAAGTCGTAGATGTCTTCCTCACCCACGAGGTCGTCACTGTCCGACTCGGAGGAGTCGGAGGAATCACTGCCACTGTGGGTCGCCATTGTCTCCCCACCATCTGTTGTCAGACGACTGTCCTCATTCTCCTCTATCATTACAGGATTCAGTTTCTGTTGACAATAATGATTATTTAAAAGATACAGATTACAGATCAATGCCTGCATTTATCTTTGTTAGTTTACCATAAAAAAGTCAGTAGATGTGTGAAAATCTGTTAATATCTTGAATAAACATCTAAATGAAGAATGTTTACTTTCTGTACTGTAGTGATTAGTTTTTATTATACTATAAATTATTGACCAAGTAAAATCAAGATACCTAAAAACAATATGATAGCTTCATCAAATAATCACCTCTCATTAATTGTGATAATTACAATAAATATCATATTACAGTGATGTCCAGTGTAAGAAAACATAAGTTTTAATCAATATCTCAAGATAGTTAATTCATGTAAGTTAATTAAATCTTTTACGTAACAATTCATGTATTCATGTACAATCAGCAATTGTATATATCATGATTATTGTTTAACGGAAGAAGACTAATTTAAAGTTTGATAACTTGTGTCCAATCCTTTTTGTAAGGAAGGTAAAAATATACGTTTCGCACAGACTATTTTTGTTTGTTAAACGACACAATAACACAATTTTAAAGTACCAATTCCTTTTGACGAGTAAATATGTACAGCATATCTGGTTATACTACCAACATATGGTGTGATAAAGGGAACATTTACGGTAATGTATAAAGGGAAAGTTAGGGGATCCTGAAATCTGTTGGTGGTAGTTGAGGGAGACAACTTGATAACATGTCAATGTCATGGGAAACATTGAAAGCACAAATATTGCAACAGGTTGATCGGGAGTAAACCTAATTAGGCAACACAACATTTGATCATATCCATTAATTGCTCAGAGTGGATGTCACTTATCTTAATAATGGAGTAAGAAAGTCAACATCTAAGACTACATAACAAATTGGGTTAAATATAAATGCCAAGAAAGGTTGTCTAAAAATTAAAACAACACAGATCGAAGAAATAATTGGATCACGATGACTAAGAAGTTAAGAACATGAACAAAAAGGAACATAAGCTCAGTATTAGTATTGGAACATCACTAGACTACATTATTTTTTGTGCTGAGAGAACAACACATGATCTATATTAATTAGCTAATTATGGATCATCATCTTACTTCCTACTTTGATGTTACTAATACATGCCCCCCCCCCCCCCCCGACTTCTGAATTTAAAATACTAAAATTTATCATGTGCATCATATGTTAGAGAAATAGTAAACCATAATACTTTAATGTCAATTCCTACTGTTTCATTGTTTTGTCTCTGTCATGTCACACTTATCATAGTACAACTTAACGTCTACAGTACCCGGATATATATTACACCTGACTATCAGTATAATACACCACACTTATCATGATACAACTTAACGTCTACAGTACCCGGATATATATTACACCTGACTATCAGTATAATACACCACACTTATCATAGTACAACTTAACGTCTACAGTACCCGGATATATTTATACACCTGACTATCAGTATAATACACCACACTTATCATAATACAACTTAACGTCTACAGTACCCGGATATATTTATACACCCGACTAACAGTATAATACACCACACTTATCATAATACAACTTAACGTCTACAGTACCCGGATATATTTATACACCTGACTATCAGTATAATACACCACACTTATCGTAGTACAACTTAACGTCTACAGTACCCGGATATATAATACAGCTGACTAACAGTATAATACACCACACTTTTGTAATCTGTACTTCAACTGACTATTACCTATTATACATCACCCTTTAAGTACTACAAATGTCTATTACCTGTAACAAGGCCTCTCGCTCTTTCCGTCTCTTCTCAATCAGTATATCTTCATCATCCTCATCACTGGTGAAGTCAAGGTCTAATCTACAGAAAATATGTAACTATGTAAGGACAGGAAACACTATTCATACTGATTGTAATTTGTTCTCAAAATGATAGGCAAATATTAATTAGACAAAAGTCAACATTCCTTTCTAAAATTACATTCAAATGATATTATAAATGACTATAACTTTGGTTAACTCCTAAACAAACTCAAAAATGGCATTGCCGCAACACAAATTACTTTAAACTGTTTCCTAATTGTATTTCTTAATGATGCTACTGATAAATTTCATATTTTTATTTTCTTATTTCAACCTCATTGCGCAGAAGCCTTACAGCGAGACAGAAAACTTACTCTTCGTCTGATTCCTCCTTGACCTTTGTCATACCCTCCGATAGACTTCCTTTAAACTTGTCCTCAGGCTTGTCCTTTGACCTATTGTGTCGGTCACGTGACCTGCTTCGACGCCCATAACGATCTCGGATCCTGTCATCACGGTCAAATGGACGCCTACAAATTAAAATTTGATCAGCTGTATTCACATAAAATATTTAAAAAATGTTATTTCATAATTCATAGATGTTGGATTCTTTTAATTGTTTCTGTTTCCTTACCAATAACTTATTTTTTTCTAAATACATAGTTGAACTGGGCACATTCGTGTTCAAAACACAACTACATTGTGTGCTGTCCATTTTATATAATATGCTAACACTTGACCAAACTATTTTCCGCATCTTTATTAAAGACTTTTGGATTAATATCATATAGCGTCATATTTGGTTTATCCATAACATATTACTGGAGCATAGTGATACAGCAAGCTAAATAACTACCTATTTCTCATTGGAGACCTCCTATATCTTTCTCCCATACGCCCTGGTGACCTTCGATCTGGGGATCTTCTGCGAAACGGTGAAGAACGTTGTGAAGGAGAAAGACGACGTAGAGGAGATCGTCGGGCAGGTGAAGGTCGGCGGCCTGGTGGAGTTCGGCGACCAGGAGATATTCGTCTTGGTGGAGAAAACCGTCTTTCTGGTGATCGTTTTCTTTTCCGCTCCGTATCTCGATCAATTTGTACATCTTCTCTTATTCTCCTTTCATCCATTCTAACACCTTCCCTGTTAAAAATAATGAAACAGAAAAACTTGCAAAATAGACTTTTTATTCAGTAAATTGTATATTAAGTTTATCAAGTGATATTGGAAAATGTAACTCAACATATGCAAATGACGGTTGATAACCAGTTTGTATGTAACTATTAGGCTTCATAAATTTGTCATATTATTATCAAATATTCATATCATCTTTGTCAAATATTCTTTATAGTTGTAAATGCTAATAATACATGTATAACTTCAGTATTTCTTTAGCGTTTTTTTTAGAAACATGACTGAATAGAATGTCTTATCTCAGATCATAATCTTACCTGCGGGGCGAAATGTCCCTATCCCTTGGAGATCTTCGACGGACAGGTGACCTACTTGCGGGTCCGCTGCGTTCCTTCCTGATCATGAATGACCTATCATCACGTTCAATTCTGTGATCTCGATCTCTATCAGTGTTATTATTTTCACGTCTCCCTTTTGGAGATTTACTCCTTGATATTTTCTTTCTACTAGAGTCTTTTTTCTCTTTATTTCTCCTGTCTTTGCTTTCGTTTCGTATATGACCAACATCACTTCTTTTACTCTTCCTGCTACTAGAATTTGACTTTTTTATATTTTCTACACCAGTAATTTCAATATCTGAAGTTTCGTCAACTTCCTCTGTCTCTTTACTTTTATCTGCTAATGCCATTTCCAACATTTGCCATTCTCGTCTTTTCACTTTCTCTGCTTTTGTTTCCTCATGATCAACTTCCCCCTCTTCCTCTTCCTCCTCACTATCCGCATAACCCTGTGCAATGAGGTTCATGGAATTAACCATGGATTCATCACCCTCAGCATTAAGTACTGCTTTGAGAGCTTCCCTAGCAGCTTCAAGTTTTTCTAAATCACTGTCTTCAAGTCGCATTTTCTTTTTAGGATTTGGGTTTTCTTCTGCAGACACTTTATCAGTTTTGTGTTTCTTGCGTTTGTGTTTATGTTTATGTCGGTCACTTCCATGTTTATGTTTGTGCTTATGTTTGTGTTTGTGTTTTTTCTTATCTTTCTTTGATGAGGATGCTGATGTTTTGACATGAGCCTCACTTTGTACAGTTATCTCTCCTGTACCATCTTCGCTGCTGGTTGTCTCCCCTTCACTGAAACACCAAAACAAATCTCCATCAGCTATAATCTTAAATCATAACGAAACATTTAATGTTATTTGAAGAGTTTGTTAACCAGAAGACAAATATCTCGTTTTTCAATAGTATTGATTAAAAGTGGTTTCGTAGAGGAAAGTGTGTGCGTGTGGGAGGGGGGATGTCCCAACATTGAACCTTTAAATAATGTATATATACGACGGACATCATTATCTTCTCAATAAATAGCGATATAAAACGGATAAGTAAGTAAGTAAATAAATGATTTCCCCTGTGTTACAAATTGTATCTAAATTTCATAAATCTCGAATTTTCCAAAACGTTACGCATATTCACGTGTTCAATATTTGACTATTCTAATTAAACTATGCCTATACAGCGATCTTCCTCCAAGTTGAAAAAAATGAGTCTTAGTTATTGAAGTACACTTTCTTTATGATCAGTTACACTTTAGAACTAGAATTACCTCAGATTTTCTTTATACTCGCTGTCGACAAGGCTTGTTCCGTTCGCCATTTTTCTTCGTTTAGAAATCGTTGATTAGACTTATTTGGATTTTACATATCCAGTACATAACCTCTAGAGTGCTGCCGAACGATGCCCACTTCCGGTTCTGACGTCATAGATCACAGGAACAGAAGCGAACCATTTTGACGGATAAGTTTACAGCTGCCTGTCTTTGTTTACAGTTGTGACCAGATCGTTGTTTGGCTTATCTCGACCTAAGGAACAAGATGAAGTTCAAATTTAGGGAAGAACACACGCTTGGTATGTATGACTTTTTATTTAAGAACGATAAAACACCATTTTCTTTACTTTCTTTTTGGTTATCCGTTTGGCTGGATATTTCACAATAAAAGAAATGCGTTACAACGGTGTAGTATACTGTAACAAGTCGACAACGTATTCATTTTAATTGTTTTCTTACTTAATGTTGTTTTTCGCTTAAATAACATCATAATTAATTTAAAATCGTATCAAACATCTTAATAGTTTAGCAATTGTCAACAACATATTCGGAAGTCAGGTAAACACAGTATCACGTGAATCTTATCGTGATCTAAAAATAGTGGACCGTGTAATCCACTATAAATGTGTTTATATGCAGTTCTTATATGATTTATGTCCAAACAGAGCGTAAAAAGTACAATTACAAACGAGAAATACCATGTACAGTACATGATTGCAAATTCCATTGTTGTGTTTCTGATGTAGAATCCAAATGTTGATACTTTTCACTAGCATTGTTTTCTTTGCAACATTGAACAGATTTTCAGTGATTAAGATGTCCAATACAAAATAGGTGCTACTTATGCTTACGCTCACCCCATTTATGTAGAAGCGAATGAAACAAGTTTAATCATGTATCTCATAAATATTATGTTCATCTTCTTAACATATATATGAGTAGTGATATACGTCTTCCTGTTTAAAGGACTAGTTAAATTATAAGCAGATATACGTAGAAAAATTCTGCTAGCCCAATGTTAACCTAATATAGTAAAGCTAAAGGTTGAAAATGTTCTCTAGCAGCGACATAAAATCTACTTTCCCAAGAAATTGGGCTTGTGGAATTGTGCAGCACTGAAGGGTAGTCAGAAATGTAAATCATAATATACTGTTTTCAATCTAAAAGAAAATGGATATGTTTGGGTTATGATTTTATTATTTAAATACTAGAACAGGAAAATATTTGATATTGGCTGGTATCAGGTCAATATTGGATTCACAAAGAATACTTCTAGCTTATACTTGTACCTGACAGAGAAAGAATTTCTAGCTTGAATACCTCACAGAGGAACAATTTATGTTTAGAGTTAGGAATATAAAAGTATAAAACTAAAAGTAAGAAAGGTTTATGAAAGAAATATCAGCTGTCATATATTAATTAATTATACCATTTCTAGACAAATTATTGATCCCTTAAAACAACATCTGTCTTTTAAACAAGAAGAATAGCCTGTAGTGATGTGTCTGAACAGAACATTTGATTGCTATAAGGCCAAACCAAACCATTTTACATGTCTGCAAAAAATGAGGTATGTAATAAAATACACCTTTAAATTTGTTTTCTGTAAGTTTTGTTTACAAGAATAAACTTGACTTAACAGTATTATTTTTTTCTTGGAAAAATTGCCAATAAGTTTTAGGGTAGGTATAAATAATTAGGGTAGGAAGAATAACCAGAAACAAACAATATTGTTTGATTGGCCTAAGCTGTTTGACATTGTTTAATTATATGCTGTTGTTGTCATTACACAATCTTACCATCAAATGACCCTGGGTAGGTGTTTGTTTATAACATATTGTACTGACATGTACATGTGAATGTCAAGTACTGTACAGGTAAAACAGGTTTAATATCATAGGTCAGCTAGTCTTTATAAATAACCCCAGTCTCAAACAATACTTGCATAGAATTCTAATACTTAAAACACTTTAATTTGAAATGTTAGTTGTTTGTGTCCATGTGGTTTGACTAGTTGTTTACTATATATAACCATGGATTATAATTTGTGAATCGCTTTGAGAAGACCTACAAACTAGGTTGTGATAAAGCGGTATATAAGAACCTCAAATTATTATTATCATTATTTATTTATTATGAACAGTTTGTATAGATATATTATATCTAAAATTGACAAAAAATGTAATAAAAATGTTTATTACAATTTATGAATGTTGACATAGATAATGAAAAAACTGTGATATATGTACATGTATTATATAGACAGTAAACATAAAATACATAGGCAGTGTTAAAAATATTTATACATCAGGGTTTTTGTCAGCTATTTTGGTAAAGGGTCCCTGATCATGAGCAGACATCAGGAAAATTTCATCGTCATTTGGCAAAAATTGGGGAATATAATCAGTGTTCCCACATTTACAACTACAAGGTCTTGAAAACTATCATAAGCTTGGAAAAATAAAAGCTGCAATGTAATAAGCAAAACTATTCTTTTTCTTACAGTAAAATGTATAGCAATACATAAACACATCAATTTTTAGTGTTTATGTTTATTGAATTTCAAATTGTTTGTTATTTATGCATTTTAAATGCTCTTTCATGGATGGTAATACTTAGAACATTGTACATTAAATGACTGGAAATATGCTTTTTAATGCAATTGGGGAAATGCAAGGTCTTTTTTAAAATTGCTAATGGGTCGCTGTACTGGACCCTATAAATACCAGGCAAAACACCCTGCATGTGCATACAACATGTATAAACAGTGTGCAAACAGTTTTATAAACACATAATGATACATAATGTTATAAACGCATGAACTGAATTATAAACCAATAGACAGTTCTTTAAACACATGGTGTTATAAACACAAAATGTTATAAAAACATAGACAGTGTTTTATTAAACACCTGGTGTTATAAACACATAGTGATATAAACACAATGTTATAAACAAATAGTGTTGTAAACACATGGTGTTATAAACACATAGACAGTGCTTTAATGACATGCTGTTAAGGTACTTTCATTTTTAAACGAGCTTATTTTTGGTCTAAAAAATAGTTGAGTAAAAATAAGAAAACATTAATTTTTCATATGGAACATTTTTTACAAAATCTATATTCATATATCTGCTAAATGATGATACCCCCATGAAAAAAAATATAATCTGTTAAAAAATCTGTTATTTTATATTAATTGATATTCATCTTTTGAAATGCTTATTTCTGGTTGGTCTTTGTAGATAATAATATATGAATTGATGCAAACTGTTGCTTTGTTTGTCAGACATCAATCAATGCTTGGTATTTAAGCTTTGCTTTGTTTTGTTTCAATGAACATGTATTTGTTGAATATAACATTGAAAATATCTTGAAGCAAGTTATGAAACTTACTGAGTCCATAAGTATGTTTCCTGGAATAGTGGAATGATTTTTTTGCCTATGTAAAGAGTGTAAAATAACTAAGATTTTTATTCAGGTTATGCCATGTATACAATGTTGTAGGTGTGCCTCAAAAACTGTCCACTTTTCCAAAAATAATGATTTTCTTCTGTTTCAGAACAAAGAAAAGCAGAGTCGGCAAAGATAAAGGAGAAATACCCAGAAAGGATTCCAGTAAGTTAAAGATTAGTTATATAGTATTTTTTTGTACTGTATATATACTGTTAATTATGTACAAGTTAATTGTTCTATATCTGCTTTCTAAACAATAATCCTGTAACAATAGAGGTAATGTTAATTTTAGTACAACGTCAATTAATATGAAAACATGGTGATGTACTATCTATTTAAAATGATGGCAAATTAATTCAGACTGAAGTCATCAATGTTTTCAGGTCTATGATAATGAATACTTTTAGAACTACGTAATATTATTGTTCTCCCTTACTAACTTACTTGATAGGAATTGATATTATTCACTTGCATGCTTCCTTGTATCTTTTCCAGGTGATTGTTGAGAAGGACCCCAAGTCACAGATACAGGATATAGACAAACGCAAATTTCTTGTTCCTAATGACATTTCTGTAGCACAGTTCATGTGGATTATTCGTAAACGTATTCAGTTACCGTCAGAAAAAGCCATCTTTCTATTTGTTGGCAAAGTCCTCCCGCAATCAAGGTAAATCTCACAGACTACTAATAATGGAACATTGTCTACGAAAGTAGCTGCTTCGTAATTATTTTCACGGCAAGAATGAGTGATATTAAGGGAGTCTGAGACTGTTTGAGTCATTTTGTAGTTGACTGGTAATAAATTGGCCTATTATTTAAGTTTTGCTTTTTACTGAATGATATTTATATCCGAGAGTTGTCTGAATGCACAATAATTGAAGGAGCGTATACATACAATTCCACTACTCCTGGGGCTAGTAGATGTTATGTTGGGGCTAGTAGATGTTATGTTGGGCTAGTAGATGTTATGTTGGGGCCACTACTTTTGGGGCTAGTAGATGTTATGTTGGGGCTAGTAGATGTGGGCTAGTAGATGTTATGTTGGGGCTAGTAGATGTTATGTTGGGGCCACTACTCCTGGGGCTAGTAGATGTTATGTTGGGGCCACTACTCCTGGGGCTAGCAGATGTTATGTTGGGGCCACTACTCCTGGGGCTAGTAGATGTTATGTTGGGGCCACTACTCCTGGGGCTAGCAGATGTTTTGTTGGGGCCACTACTCCTGGGGCTAGTAGATGTTATGTTGGGGCCACTACTCCTGGGGCTAGTAGATGTTATGTTGGGGCCACTACTCCTGGGGCTAGTAGATGTTATGTTGGGGCTTCTACTCCTGGGGCTAGTAGATGTTATGTTGGGGCTTGTGAATATTTTCAATATAAACTATGAAAAAGTAGGTCAGGCTAGGAGAACTTTTCATAAACAGCCATACAGACTAAAACTCAAGATATAAAATTGTACATCCCAGTTATTGGTGTCAAAAACGAACATATTGAAATTACTAGGGATAAATTATATTGTAACCTTGAATATTAGTATCACTGATTTGTCAACTTTGATATCAGTTTACCTGGGCTATCCAAGGTCGTCTGATAAGTACCCAGGTACATGTCAATACAGCAGTATCAGGTGTAATGTATCCTCTACATATCATTGTACAGTTACCAGCTGGTGTCCGTATCAAGACTTCTGTCGGATTAATTTGTTTCTCAGTACATGTATACTAGAGGTAGATTGTAGATGTGTAAGTCTATTATACACTGGTAGTGGTTGATCCAGAGGTAGATGATGAAGTGTATTATACAATGTTTGTCAGAGGGAGATTTGTTTTACCAGGGATACATGTGTAACTATTATATACATTGTTATATCAGAGGTACCCAAATATTGAAAATAAAGGTATCTCTATTATACAGTACTGTATAAACATGAAGGCTTGCATTAGTTAGATACCAGCTTTACACTGAACAGGGAACCTGAGCTCCAGGCTTCTGTCACCTTATATTGTACTCTCATTTTGTCTCAAATAGTGTAGTGTGCCATGCCCTATCCATTGTCTATCCTTCAGCTCCTTTTTTGGAAACCAATCAGTAGTTTAACTAAAGTTGACATGAACCATCTTTAAGTGATGGGGATCTTAAGTAAATGCAAAGTGATGACTCCTACATAAATGTTAAAAGAGAGCAAATTTTACATATTACATATACAAATTTTGAAAATATTCTGGAGAACTGGATATATATCCAGAAGATAAGGAATGAAGAAGTTTTATTTACATATAAACATGAGGAAGTCTACAGGCTCCTGACTACAGATGATCAATAAGGGTCGATCAAGTCCAGAGACAAGAAGAAAATCCTATAGACTACAAGCCTATCTAAAAAGGATTAGACATGAAAAATATAGTTGTATCCTGTTATCATCAATTGGGGCCACAATAAGGGACCACTGTTTGCTAAAGTTAATGTATCCCAAGTATGAAAAATGTTTACTGCTACCTTAATACACACATTTAAACTGTAATAGATATATGTAAACAGAAATATAAAATGAGCAGCAATGTGTGTGATCACTAGCAGTGACCTGTATATTACTGCTGACAATGTTACCTACCCTCTAGCTGTAGTGAAACCGTAATGTGATGAAGTATGATGTTAAGCACAGATTGACTGTCCCTAAGGCAGCAGTTTGATCATTGGTATAAAGTGTATAGAACCTGAACTTCAACCAGGTGATGTTATGTTGGCGTTCACCTCATTTTTGCAGGGTACATAATGTAGATAGAAATTGTACAACATTCGTATATTTATATATAATGGCTATATTTTCAATTATAGTATATCAGTTCTATCTTCTTGTAATATGTTGTATATTTACATGTAACTGTTCTGTTTCACTTTGTCTTGATAAAGGAGCGCATCGCTCCGAAAATTTGACAACCTAAACTTGTCCACACTGTTGGAATTACTTCTTTGCCCCATATATATACATAGGTAATTATACATTGACTGACTCAATAAATACAAAGTATGTCATGGACATTTAAACAGTGATTTTTTAATCACAAACACCTCAGATTTATCTGTGAAATTATATCGTGAAATAAGAAGTGGACTTTATGCCATGTCATTTTGGTCTTGACTTGAACCTATAGCGATCATTATGGAATATCCAAGTTTTTAAACCTGTCATCATGAGGTGGTGGCAGGTTGTTCAGAACGCTTTCCGTCTGTGGTCTGGCATCCGTCAGTCAATCATGATCCGTGAATCACTTAGTCATTCCATCTGTAAACAAAATTTGTTCATGCTATTTCTTAAAAGATACCTAAAGGATCACAATGAACCTTAAAATGGTTGCCGTAGCCATCTTGAATTTTGCATAAATTACGGAAAGGATCATGTACGCTATACTGCTAGTCCCTTTTTATGCCTGCTTCAAATTCTGCTACTTCAGAAACAGAAAACGACCATTGGGCCTTCTGTCCATATACAGCTCTATCAAAGAGTTTTATGAAAGAATATTTTTTCATTCTCTTATGACACAGCTTCATGTTAAAACTAATGATTTAATGACTGCCTTCAATGTAATTATATCTAAAAAAAAAACAATAACTTTGACTCTTGTTTTTGTGTTCCAGTGCCAGTATGGGTCAGGTATATGAAGAGCACAAGGATGAGGATGGATTTCTGTACATCGCCTACAGTGGGGAGAACACGTTCGGCCACTGACATTTTAACCTCAGCCATGATCACTTTATCCCTGGCCACAATGCTGCAGACAATGGGCATTGTGACCATCATTGTTTTATCATAATTGGCACAACAGTTTTAGATTGCGTTTTGTTACTGCAGGTTTTGGTTAATTATTAACTTTAATTCGGACATACAGATGTTACTATCAATTTTAAAGAACACCTACTTAATTACAGACGGAGAAGGTAGTTGATAAGCAAACTGGAGATAGTTTGAAGCTAGGAAAACCTTGAAACTACTTACAATTTATTGTGGGTCATTTTTATTAAATTTTTAACCTAATGATAATGACACTAATTAAAACTGATGGAAGATGTTGCTTACATTTAAAAAGGAAAAAAAGAACATGGTAGCTATTTAAAATATTAAGTAAGAACAAGTATTGAAGCCATTTATATCAACAAAAACAGAAATGTATTTATGGAAGATCAATAATAACAAGTACTTAAATGTATTGTGTGGCATTTCAGTATAAAATAATCAGACTTTTGGCAATCTTATATTACACCTCTAGATGTCAAATCTATGAGAATGTGATTATATGCTTTCATAATCTGTTTGTGAGTGTCGTTTAAACGAGCCAACTGTGTAATAATGGGTTTCTGTAGAGCTGGGAATTACTGAAGTTGTAACAAATGATGTTTTCGGATAGTGATCAATGTGTTGTAAACAGTGTGTTGTATAAATAAATGTATGTTGTGTTGGGAGTTACATGTTTGTGTATAGATGTATGATAGAGTTTACTCTGGGATGGCCTTGTGTGAGATAGTTTGGTAATACACAACCATTTGTAGCTATGCATTGAACACTTATTATTAATTACAGTGACAGAGACGTCAATACCATATTTCTCTTTTTTTTCTCATTTTGGCTTGACCGGGAAATTAACTTCAATTGAATGTTATTTTTCAGTTACTTGCTAAAGCTCAATACACTACAACAGTTCTCTGTTCTCATCTCACAAATACATTCAAAGTCATGTCTTAATTACCTTAACTGGCCAACCAAATGGTAGCTTGGCTGTAAACCTTTTCAGCCGATGTAAACATTCAATCTAGTGTGGTTGCTGTTAACATTCTCAACTAATGGAAGTTTGACTGTAAACATTTTCAACGAAAAATAAAAGTTGAGCTGTAAACATTCTTAACTAAAAGAAGCATGGCTGTAAACATTCTCAACTAATGGAAGTTTGGCTGTAAACATTCTCAACTAATGGAAGTTTGGCTGTAAACATCCTCAACTAATGAAAGTATGGCTGTAAACATTTTCAAAATGAAAATGACAATTATTCTTCCAAATAAATGTTAACCTACTGTGATTTAACATTATCAAAATAAGAAAGTCTTTGTCTATAGAATTTAAATCTGTTACAATAGCATTTAACATTGTATTGGACAAGCAGTGAAGTTATTTCCACATTCTACTTTATGTAATCTAAATAGAGCTTTTTATTTCATTTTGGTTCTATTATCACTTTGAGATATTACAGATTTGTGTCAAGAAAAAGCCTGAATTTTTTTGTATATGGATTCATCAGGTGATATAATATGATTTAAAATGAAAAACACAAACTGAAAGATTTGAGTTCAAAAGATAATTTACTCATGGTGATGAATTCTTTGTAATTTAATTGTGTATAAACTGTCAGCACTATACTTTGTTCATTAGGATTTTTTTTATTGCAACAAGTTTTACTCTAGTCCATCAACAGTGTACAGTTCTGCTACAGCACTTTTAACTTGACTTTTTATTTTATTTTATAATTTTACTTTATAATATTGGTTGTAAATTGGCTGAGTGTTAGCTGTAGTTTCGTTATTCAGCAACAAAGATCAACTTAATTGTTTCAGATAATTAGTATTTCTAGGTCAAATGCATCAAACAATTCGGATATCTTACAAAATGTTCAGTGTTATTATATCTACTTTGATCATGACATTATTCCATTTCGTTTTATCATGTATTTGTATTATAAGTTCCATTTCGCATTTTCTGTAAATAAAGTTATGTTACCAAAAGAAAGGTGTTCTTTTTGTGATCAATGAAATTTCAAGACAGTCAACATGTCAGAGACGTCACCCGACATGTGTTGCAAGGAAGTGAAATATGATCATGAGGTTAGAAGTGACTATTATCAGTCAGAATCAGGGGTTGATCCAGGATTTTCTAAAAGGGGGGGGCCGAGAAATATTTCTCAATATTCAACAGTGTGCTGCCAAAGGCAGCACCCCGAGCGCATAGCGCGAGGAGGGGGAGGGTACGGGAGGGGGTCTTCCCCCTCCCTTTAAGGGGGGTTTGGGGGATCTCCCCCCAAAAAATTGTGTTTTCTAGAACGTCTCAGAAGCAATTTCCTGTATTCTGAAGATTGTTTTTATGTGTAATTAACAAAAAGAAAAAAAACATTTTAAGTATGGCCCAAAGACTTTGTTTTGTGTACTGGAAAGAACATTATTAAAGTTTCGGTTCAAATTCTCTATCAATAGCGTCTTTTAGAAGTCAGATGGTATTATTATAGGGGCAACCTGGTGATGACAAATGTATGAATCCACAGGGGATTGTTCATTATTACCCGCCCGCAAGGGGGATACGAGAGGTCCTACGTGAAAAAATATATGTAGGGACGCACAATATCTAGTCTTCAGACATTGTACCTACAGTACAGTACTTCATGTAATAGTTTGTTGTACACAAGAACAAATAACACCATAACATCGTTGCTGTTTAATTAATGAGTTACTCATGGCATCACTAAGTTGCTAAACAAACGGATAAGTTTCAAATCAGTGCGACACCCAAGACCACTAGCTATATAGTCCCGCGTTTTATAATTGTTGACTAATTCACTAGAGTAGACAATGATATATCTGAAATGTCCACGCTGATTAACTCATGTAAGGGCGTGCATATTACCAACAGTGGTACATTTGCTAAGCTATCTGGTTAAAATGGTATAACTTAGGAGGCACATACGCGTCGCCCTTAAATTTAATTTAAAATTAACATACTTGTAAGTACAGCATATCATCTCATTCTGGTACATACAACTTATTACTATGTACACAATAGTATGCTGTGTGAAGATACTTTCTTGTACTTTCTTGTACGTACACGATGGTAAGCTATAAGTACCACAATGAGATATTAAATATTGTCTACAAGATAGTTGAACAGTTCCAACAATATACATAATACCAAAATAATTGAATGGATATGTTTAGTCGATTATACATAATATTGTCAGCCGAAAGATATGATTAATATCGCCCGGGCGGTTAGGAAGGTTACAATAAAAAGTGTTAATTTTCAGATCATGTATAACGAGCGGTCAATAATATAATTATGCAACTTATGCTAGTATATTTCCGCCGAGCTTTGCAAGTTGCAACTTGGGGTTTTGCAGAGGTGGTAAAATAAAATCCACACTTGAGGGTCAAGATACAAAGTAGACGAGCGTAGCGATGCCAACAAATATTGTTTTGATAAAGAAAATATAGTAAAAATATCAGAAAACGGAAACCCACAATATTTGCTAGGATGCCGTATGGGATGTGGGGGGCATAGCCCCAGATTTTTTTTATACAAGCTCCGTGCATTATTTGATGCATTTTAGAATTGTTCGGCCGGCCCGGAAAAGGTCAGTCCACTGCCAAAAGGGGGGGGGCCGGGTGTGCCCCCCCTAAATCCGCGCCTCACACAACAGAGAATAGTGTTTGTTGATCAGTAGCAGAATGTAAATATAATTTCTGCTGGAAATATTATTTGAAAAATATTTTTCCAGGTGTCCTAATTATACATCAGTGGTATGATTGGCAGTGATCTATATAACCAGCGGTGATAAATAGCAAATTGAAGGAACTCTTCATGCTCTAATTATCTTCCAAGGCAGCTGGAAATTCCAAGAGTGTCTCTTCAAGATGGATATAAATGACAAAGGTCTTAGACTCGCTTTAAAATGTCTCCCCCAGACAGATGTCTAAAAGATCACTCAAATGTCTTGCCAAACAGAGATATTCAAGAGAGTTTAGTGCTGCAAAAATTATTATTGTCTGCAAATAAATGTACAGTTTCTTCACAGACTGACCAATGTCCAAGAGACTCGGACCAATGTCCAAGAGACTCTGCAAGATCACTCAATTGTCTCCACAGACAGACTTAAAGTCCAGACGTCTCCTCAGACAGACTTAAAGTCCAGACATCTCCTCAGACAGACTTAAAGTCCAGACGTCTCCTCAGACAGACTTAAAAGTCCAGACGTCTCATCAGACAGACTTAAAGTCCAGACATCTCCACAGACAGACTTAAAGTCCAGACGTCTCCTCAGACAGACTTAAAGTCCAGACGTCTCCTCAGACAGACTTAAAGTCCAGACGTCTCCTCAGACAGACTTAAAAGTCCAGACGTCTCATCAGACAGACTTAAAGTCCAGACATCTCCACAGACAGACTTAAAGTCCAGACGTCTCCTCAGACAGACTTAAAGTCCAGACGTCTCCTCAGACAGACTTAAAGTCCAGACGTCTCCTCAGACAGACTTAAAATCCAGACGTCTATACAGACAGACTTAAAGTCCAGGCGTCTCCTCAGACAGACTTAAAGTCCAGGCGTCTCCTCAGACAGACTTAAAGTCCAGACGTCTCCACAGACAGACTTAAAGTCCAGGCATCTCCTCAGACAGACTTAAAGTCCAGGCATCTCCTCAGACAGACTTAAAGTCCAGGCATCTCCTCAGACAGACTTAAAGTCCAGGCGTCTCCTCAGACAGACTTAAAGTCCAGACGTCTCCTCAGACAGACTTAAAGTCCAGACGTCTCCTCAGACAGACTTAAAATCCAGACGTCTATACAGACAGACTTAAAGTCCAGACGTCTCCTCAGACAGACTTAAAGTCCAGATGTCTCCTCAGACAGACTTAAAGTCCAGGCGTCTCCTCAGACAGACTTAAAGTCCAGACGTCTCCTCAGACAGACTTATAGGCCAGACGTCTCCTCAGACACATACCATTGAAAAAAGTGACATATATATTGCATTAAAATCAGCATTTTTCTGTCTGTCTATTTAATAGGGTAATTTATTTTAAAACCAGGTGAATATGCATTTCATAAGTGCATGATTATCCATAAATAATTTATTAGTTTACCATGTTATGACAATAGGTTCCCTTTTTTCTTGCAAGTTTTCAATAAAAAAATGTGCATGATCAGAAAAAAAGGAAAAACGTCCAGTCAGAGAGCAGCCTGTGGTATTCAGAGAGTAGTGTGGTTCCAACGGGGTTGAACCTGCGACCCCTAAGCTAGCGCGACCGTAATCCTATGAACAACAAAATCTGCCACTGTGACCTGAAAATGACTTGTATCACATTAATAACTTCTTAGTTATGTATAAGTAACAAATGTACCTGGGTAACATCTCACTTTATGCATTGCCAATGTTGCCAAAATGATTATTATTGTTATTTACTTATTAGACCTTTGCAATTGTAAGTTTATTTAGTAATAGAGTAACTAATTTACTAAACAGTGATTTGGAAAGAGTTTTTGGAAAGGTTTATTGATCTTCTAAATAAAACACATACATGTAACGTATGTTCAAAATATTATGAAATAGCACACTTTATTTATCTAAAATAAATTACTGTTGGAATTACCTCCCTTGATTCAATGTTTCTGTTTCCTGTGTAAACACATGTATGGTGGATGCTCTGGTAAGCTTACTATAGCTTGATTGCGAGTTTGTCAAGGCAGAGTAAAGAACAAATGATAAACATTTAAGCATATGCATTACCCATCCTGAACTTAGACATAATAGTGACAATATAATTATGAAGTAATCCTGGAGAAAGCCAATCTACTGTAACTTATACTGCAAGGTGATGCTGCTCGGCCAGTTCAGTTGTCAGAACGCTAGTTTCACGTTTCATCTGTAAGTCAAGAGCAGTAAATTGAAACAAATGACATTTATTTACATGGCCGTCAGTAACACAATGTTATTTTGCGAAACTTTGCAAAAAAGTCTAATTAAATAACTTATTGATTAATTTTGTTCAAAAGTGAACAGGTGAATTATTATTTGCTCAGAAATCAATTTATTATTTAGCCTATGTGCTTGGCTGCCTAGAACTGTTGTGATACAATCATACACACCTATTTAAAAAAAGAGTTTCACACTGAGAAACATACAAACTTTTCCTAATTTGTAATGGATTTTATTTGACGACATGTATGCTTGAGGGCTACACATATATTATTATTTAATGAAGGCAATCATTCTGTTTAAAACTATTACATATCTAATGGAGACATTGAGTGATCACAGATAAATCACGGGTATAAATTAAGAAAAGTACCTGAAAGGTGCATGGATTCTCAACATCATTTTCTCTCACCTCTGCATCACACTATACTTACCTAATTTGTTACAGTATGTATGTAACAAGTGAGGAAAAATGCACGGCCTGAGACCGGGCTTCGAACCCGGGACCCTCCGAACTCTAGACGGAAGTTCTACCAATTGAGCTTAGATAATCTAGTAGCCAACGAAGGACCCAGTCCAGGTCCGCTACATATAGCTAGAGTTTCCTCTGGTCCTGACACCATACTAAGACATTTTTACAGACAGATGTCTGTCCCACACCAGATATCTATCTGTCAAAATGTCTTAAGTCTGGTTGTCAGGGCCCATGCAAATAGGGGCTAGTAACACAGTACTGAGTAGGTATGTGACTTTTTACCCCAGTATCAATGATGATTAATACCATCATTTTGTTTATTTGGAGGGGGG